GAGTCTATACCTGTGAGGCAAGTGTATCAGCATCCTGATGGTGCCTTCAGACTTCCAGACCCAAAATTGCTGCTGTGCCTTTGGTCAGACCACAAAAACTTGGGGCAAAGTTTACCAAGAAAGTAAACAGCCAAAAGTTAGGTATGTGGGAGACACACCCATATACCACCTCCAGCTCAGCTATATAATTGGAGGCATGGCCTCTCTGGTTCTTGATCGAACTGCTTAATGGCCATGATCCCAGAGACTCAAACAAATCTCAAAACCCAGTAGCTTTTGGCAGAAATGCATCCAGTCCCTGCAGAAGGTTACAGGCGCTGGGCCACCCCAGGTGGGAATAGGTTTTGTGCCTTGGCCTGTTCCCCCTGGCAGCCCGGTGGCCGCCATCCTCCAGAGGCCACTGGACAGTCAGGTTTGGGCCCGCAGAGATGAGATATGCGGGGCCTCATGGGATGGGGGTGGAGCTGGCCCCTTCCTCCCCAAACCAACGAGACCCTGAGTTGCCGTCCACGAATGGCCTCTCTGTTCCTAATCAAGCTGCTTAACAGCCATGATCCCAGAGACTCAGAAACAAATCTCGGAACCCAGTGGCCTTTGGCAAAAAAGTGTCCGGACCCCACCATAGGTTACTGTCGCTGGGCCACCCCAGGGGGGAAAGGGTGCTGTCCCTCCACCTACTCCCCCTTGGCGGCTCAGTGGCCGCCATCTGCCAGAGGCCATTGGACAGCCAGGTTTGGACCCACAGTGAAAAGACACGTGGGGCCTCACAGGATGGAGGTGGAGCCGGCTCTTTCCTCCCCATCCCAACGAGACCCTGAGTCGCAGTCCACGAACAGCCTTCCTGGCTCCTGATCAAGCTGCTTAGTGGCCATGATCCAAAAGACTCAGGAACAAATCTCGGAACCCAGCAGGTTTTGGCAGAAATTACTCCAGATTTAATTGTTAAAATTTCGGAATTTCAAAATCACGTGGCCACTACTGCAACCACGCGACATCATATGTTATTCATAACCAGCAATAGAAAACAAATTGTCTAGTGTTGCCTTTTCAGCAGATCTGAGTGTTGGGGTAAAATCCCAAATAATAATGGTGGGTCTGGTGTCAAAATAATGAAAGTGATCAAAGTAGAGACAGAGTAATGTGGAAATCATCTGACACACAGGTAAGGGGAGTATACTGGGGTTCTTGGGTGTGGAGAATGAGCACTGGTGAAGGTACAAGTGTTTCATTGTATGACCAAGACTTAAACCCGAAAGATTTATAACTATTCTCACGGTGATTCAAGGGCTGGAGCGATAGCACAGCGGGTAGGGCGTTCGCCTTACAAGCGGCCAACATGGCCGACCCGAGTTCGATTCCTCCGCCCCTCTCGGAGAGCCCGGCAAGCTACCGAGAGTATTCGATATGCCAGACACAGTAACAACAAAGTCTCCAATGGAGACGTTACTGGGCCCGCTCGAGCAAATCGACGATCAACGGGAGGGCCTTTACCTTTTTACCTTTATAAAATTTTAAAAAAAAAGTAAGGTGGAGTTCATGCCCAATTCAATAAGCTAATCAGTGGCTGAATAAATAGCAGTACTCCTACATTTAAAAAAATACTGTACGTTTACAAAATGACAGTTGCTGTGCGGGTCATGACATTTATTTATTTTCAGAGTGATCTTAAGAGATTATTAAAATGAATATAAAGCCTGAAAGAATTCTGGACAAGAACAATCAAAAGAGTTTCCTTTGGAAAACGTGTTTTGGCCAGATTTTGATACTAAATTCTGTTTTAATTTTTCTCTAATGGCACTTTTGAGTTTCAGAGCCCTGATAGTGAGCTGATGGTCTTTACAGAGATAGGAGACTTTAGAGAACTTTGTTTCCAGTTGTAAGGCAAGGTAACTTCTCTTTAATATTTGTGGCCTCTTGTTCATTTAATTAATTTAGTCCATTTGGGTCACATCTGGTGATGCTCAGGAGTTACTGCTGGATCTGCACTCAAGAATTACTGCAGGAGTCAGAAAGAGTGGGATAGACACAGAAAGATTGCATTCATCTGGGGAACATAAAGCAACAAAACGGGAGACTAACACCCAGCAATGGCTGAGATTAGTACCAGGAATTTTGCTCCATGACTTGAAGGCCAGCCACATGTGCTAGGTGAAAAGGAAGCTCAGATAGAGAAGAGAGCACCAAATAAAGGGTGTTGTGAGGACCCTCCCAGGGTGGGAGAGACATGCTAAAAGTAGTCTATAGACCAAACATGATTGCCACTCAATGCCTTTCTTGCAAAACACAGTACCCAAAAGAAGAGAGAGAGAACAAGGGGGAGTGCCCTGCCACAGAGGCAGGGTGAGACAGGGGGATGGGGGTGGGAGGGAGGCTGGGACCCGTGGTGGGGGAGTATGGGCACTGGTGGAGGGATGGGTACTTGATCATTGTATAACTGAAACCCAAGCACAAAAATTTATAAGTCAAAAAAAAAAAGAATTACTCCAGGAGTGCCCTGCCACAGAGGCAGGGTGGGATGGGGGATGGGGGATGGGAGGGATACTGGGATTGTTGGGGGTGAAGAATGGGCACTGGTGGTGGGATGGGTACTTGATCATTGTATAACTGAAACCCAAGTACAAAAACTTGTAAGTTTACAATTGTACCTCATGGTGTTTCACTAATAAGAAAAAAAAGAAAAAAAAGAATTACTCCAGGAGACCATATGGGATGCTGGGGAGCAAATCTGGGTCATCCACATGCAAGGCAAATGCCCTATCTGCTCTACTATCACTCTGGCCACGTTCTTACACTAAGTGTAAGTTTTCTCATTAAATTCAAACTGGTTATTTGAATTTTTAAAAGTGTAGTTGTAGTGCAAACAATTAATGATCTACTTTTTTCTTTTTTTAATTAGAGAACTATGATTTACAAAGTTATAGATCATTGAGTTTTAGGCATGTAATATCTCGACACCAATTCCACCACCATTGTCAACTTCCCTCCACCAGTGCTCCTGTATTCCCTCCCCACCCCACTGCCACCCCATCCCAGGCTATCAACTTGACAAGCACATTACAAAGTTTATACTTTAAAAATTTCTTTTACATCATAGTTTGAATTAATATCTTCTATATGTGTAATAAAACATCACTCATATTTCTACAGACTTTAAAACTACAGATAATGGGGGCTGGAGCAATAGCACAGCGGGTAGGGCATTTGCCTTGCACGCGGCCAACCCAGGTTCAATTCCCAGCATCCCATATGGTCCCCTGAGCACCGCCAGGGGTGATTCCTGAGTGCAGAACCAGGAGTAACCCCTGTGCATCGCCAGGAGTGACCCAAAAAGCAAAAAAAAAAAAAAAAACTACAGATAATGGTTCCTATTTGAATTGTATCTTTTGTAATAGATTTCAATAAAGTTGGACTAGCTTATCAAAAATAAATAAAATTTTTAAATTGTAAATCCAGGGCTGAGGAGATAGCTCACAACGTTCTGCATGCACCCCTATCCCACTGCTCACCAGCACCAGCTAGATTCATCCCTAAACAAAATAAACAAAATTTTTTTTAAAAAATTGTGCTAATAAGCACAATAAGCTTTTAAATATTTGCCCTCCTCCCTCCTCACAGTGATAGTATAGGAGGTAGGACATTTGCCTTGGAAGTGGCCCACCTGGGTTCTACCCTCGCCATCCTATATGGTTCCGGGAGCACCTCCAGCAGTAATTCCTGAATACAAAGTCAGGTGTAACTCCTGAGCATCTCTGGGTGTGGCCCACAAACGCATCCCAGGCATCCTCTGGTGGTGGTGGTGGAGGAGGAGGAAGTGGGAGAGAAGGAAGAAGAAAACTGCCTACCTTCAAGGCAGGCTGGGAGGGAGATGTGGCAGTAGAGATATGGGGAATATTGGTGGTGGGAAAAGTACACTGGTAGAGGGATGGGTGTTGAAATACTTTCTGACTGAAACTCTATCATGAAAGCTTTGTAACGATCTCACAGTGACATGGTGATTCAATTAAAAATATTAAAAAAAACTAAAATTAAAAAATTTATATATATATTTAAAAACACTGGGAAAAAAAACCACTGGTCAACACGATTATAAATATGTGACCCAAACTATAAGTGAACTAAAACCCAAACGCAAAAAAAAAAAAAAAAGAAAAACCTCTGAGTCAGAAGTATTTTCAACAGTTCTAACTCATCTCCCTGGCCGTACAAATCATACCCACGTTTCTTTGGCCCTGGAGTCTTGCCATCCAATCAGCACCTTCAAAAAGTTTGCACCGTTTGGATTTGAAAATCCTCCTCCCAGTTTTGAGTAAACCGGTTCCTACTGGAGATGAGAGAGCAACGTCCAATCAGCCTTCGCGTCCCCCAACCTCGAGGCGTGGGCCGTGTGCTGCACAGACAGTGCTGGGAGTAGCCAATCAGCACTTTGAAAGAGTTTCCGCCTTTTGGATTAGAAAACCGTCACCCAGCTTTGAGTAAACCGGTTCCTACTGGAGATGGGAGAACGACATCCAATCAGGCTTCGCGTTCCCCTGAGGCCGTGCGCAGTACTGACGGTTTCAGGATAGTAGAGAGGAGACACTCTATCCAGCCCTTTCCGGCGAAAGCACGTGAGAGCAATGTCCAATCAGCCTTCGAGTTCCTCGAGCCTCGAGACCTGGGCCGAGTGCAGAGCCGACAGTGCTGGGAGTAGCCAATCAGCACTTTTAAAACATTTCTGCCTTTTGGATTAGAAAGCCGTCACTCATCTTTGAGTAAACCGGTTCCTATTGGAGGCGGGAAGAGCAACGACCAATCAGCTTTTGAGTTCCTCTATCCGGCTTCCTGGGCGGTGTGCAGAGCGGGCCGTGCCCGCCAAGTAGAGAGGAGACGCTCTAGCCCACCCTGCGCCGGCGGAAGTGCGCAGTCTCACTTCCTGCGCCTGGACTTTTCTAGAACACCCGTCGGTTAAACTGGCAGTCGAAGGAGCGGCAGCCGGAAGGTGCGGGTGCTAGACCGAGAGCATGGAGAAGGGCGGCCAGCACGTCCGCGCCACCGATTTGGGGGCTTCGGGCAGGGTTCTGGCCCGGTACCCCACCAAACGCTCGTCGTGCTTGATGCCCACCACAGCCGGCAAAGATGGCAAAGACTCCCTGGTGCCAAGTTCGAGGCACGGCGGCCAGTATCGTACCCTGCGGGCGCTATATATGCACAGCGGGAGAGTCCAGGACCGCGAGCTGGAAGACCCTGAAGCGAACAACCCCGAGGCAGGGGCGCGGGCTTGCCTGAGGAAGGCCTGCCTGACCCACGGGGTCCGACTTGGCTCGGTGCCCTTAGAGGAGCTGGAGCTTGGGGATCCAGGCTTGCTCGACGCTTTCTACACGGCAGGTAAGCCGGGGGCCGCGGCCCCTGATGGGTTCCCACTTCCCTTACAGGCGTCCCAGAATCCCCTCCCCCATTTGCGGCTCCCCGACACCGAGGAGGGAGAGGCCAGCAGAACCATTTTTTGGGTTTTTTTTTTTTTTTTGGTCACGGGTGGGAAAGTTAGAGACCAGGGCCCGCAGGCGTCGTCCTTCTACTGGCGCTCCCGTCTCTTAGGACCTTCCAGAGAAAAATTAATCCAGCCGCCGCTGCCGGAGCCCCCTTTTCAGGAGGGACCCCGATTTTCCGTCCCCAGTTTGGATTTGGCCGCTCCCGCACCCCAGCCCTGGCCACTTTTTCCAGTCACCTGAGGAACTTTGGAAATTTGACTATCGCCAAGTACCTCAGGAAGACTTCGCTGAGGCATTTTAATGACGATCTGGGCGGTCCGCCGCGGCCTCAAGGGGGTATGCGACGGTCGTCTGTGGGTCTCGCGGGAGCTTGTGTGGCCATTTTGAGTTGGCGTTTTATGCCTCTGGGTCGCGGGCGGGGGACGTGGGGGCCTCTGAGGGTCGCCTGGGAGCCTGTGTGGCCACTGTGAATTGGCCTGTATGCTTCTGGGTCGCGTTGGTCTTTACGGGTAGCGTGTGGGTCCGAGAGGGCCATTACAGGTCGCGTATGGGTCCGTGGGAACCTCTATGGGTCGCGCGGGAGCTTGTGCGCCCACTGTGAGTTGGCATTTTATGCTTTTGGATCGTGGGGGGGAGCCATGGGGGCCTTTGTGGGTCGCCTGGGAGCCTTTGTGGCCATTGTGAGTTGGCGTTTTATGCCTCTGGGTCGTTTGGGGGGGCCGTGGGGGCCTCTACGGGTCGCATTTGGGTCCATGGGGGCCCCTACGCGTCACGTGGCGGTCCGTGGGGGCCTCTACGGGTCGCGTATGGGTCCGTGGGGGCCTCTGTGGGTCGTGCGGGAGCTTGTGTGGCGATTGTGAGTTGGCGTTTTATGCCTCTGGGTCGTGGGGGGAGGGTCATGGGGGCCTCTGTGGGTCGCCTGAGAGCCTTTGTGGCGACTGTGAGTTGGCGTTTTATGCCTCTGGGTCGTTTGGGGGGGCCGTGGGGGCCTCTACGGGTCGCATTTGGGTCCATGGGGGCCCCTACGCGTCACGTGGCGGTCCGTGGGGGCCTCTACGGGTCGCGTATGGGTCCGTGGGGGCCTCTGTGGGTCGTGCGGGAGCTTGTGTGGCGATTGTGAGTTGGCGTTTTATGCCTCTGGGTCGTGGGGGGAGGGTCATGGGGGCCTCTGTGGGTCGCCTGAGAGCCTTTGTGGCGACTGTGAGTTGGCGTTTTATGCCTCTGGGTCGTTTGGGGGGGCGTGGGGGCCCCTACGCGTCACGTGGCGGTCCGTGGGGGCCTCTACGGGTCACGTGTGGGTCCGTGGGGGCCTCTGTGGGTCGTGCGGGAGCTTGTGTGGTGACTAAGTTGGCGTTTTATGCCTCTGAGTCATGTGGGGGGGAGCCATGGGGGCCTCTGTGGGTCGCCTGAGAGCCTTTGTGGCGACTGTGAGTTGGCGTTTTATGCCTCTGGGTCGTTTGGGGGGGCGTGGGGGCCTCTACGGGTCGCGTGTGGGTCCGTGGGGGCCCCTACGCATCGCATGGGGGTCCGTGGGGGCCTCTGTGGGTCGTGCAGGAGCTTGTGTGGCGACTCTGAGTTGGCGTTTTATGCCTCTGAGTCATGTGGGGGGGGCTATGGGGGCCTCTGTGGGTCGCCTGGGAGCCTTTGTGGCGACTGTGAGTTGGCGTTTTATGCCTCTGGGTCGTTGGGGGGGGCGTGGGGGCCTCTACGGGTCGCGTTTGGGTCCGAGGGGGCCCCTACACATCGCATGGGGGTCCGTGGGGGCCTCTGTGGGTCATGCGGGAGCTTGAGTGGCGACTGTGAGTTGGCGTTTTATGCCTCTGAGTCATGTGGGGGGGGGCATGGAGGCCTCTGTGGGTCGCCTGGGAGCCTTTGTGGTGACTGTGAGTTGGTGTTTTATGCCTCTGGGTCGTTTGGGGGGGCGTGGGGGCCTCTACAGGTCACGTGCAGGGCCATGGGGGCCTCTGTGGGTCGTGCGGGAGCTTGTGTGGCAACTGTGAGTTAGCGTTTTATGCCTCTGAGTCGTGTGGAGGGACCATGAGGGGCCTCTGTGGGTCTCCTGGGAGCCTTTGTGGCCGCTGTGAGTTGGCGTTTTATGCCTCTGGGTCATTGGGGGGGCGGGGGGGCCTCTACGGGTCGCGTGGGGGTCCATGGGGGCCTCTGTGGGTCCTGCAGGAGCTTGTGTGGCGACTGTGAGTTGGCGTTTTATGCCTCTGGGTCGTGGGGGGGGGGCATGGGGGCAGAAGTGGTGGTCATTCCTGTATCCCTTGGGCCTTAGAATCTCCAGTTTCTATTCATATTTTGATTATCCATTTCTAAATATTAGTCTGAATTTAACAGACCAGTCAGACATGACCACCTAAGTGTCAGTCACCTTGTTATTTCTTCCATTTAGAGAATAATTTTTTCTCTTTATTTAAAAAAAATATTGACAGGTTAGTGGCCATACCAATGGAACTCAATAGGCCATGCCTTGGCAATGCCTGGATGTGCCATTCAATGCTACTTTGCCCAGCTGGGTAGCCATGCAGTCTTAGGGATGGAACTCAGGGTGCCTCAAATTCTAGGCATGTGCTCCACCGCTTGTGGTATCTCCCTGTTCCCATTTTTTTTTCTGTCTTTAAAAGAACCCTCTTCTTCTAGATATGCATTAACCCACTTTAAGTGTCCATTTCTCTGCTCAAGCAGAAGTGATAGTTGTGTGACTTAAGCTAACTAACTTCCTGTGTGCCCAGTGTGTGTAGTAGCTGCCTCTTAGTTTTATTTTTTGTAACCATTTTTTACACTCAGGACATTACACATGCAAAATGAAAGACGTGAACTCTGCTCATAAACCAGCTCTTCAACCCTCAGTGGGAAATTTTAATCAAATATTTTTTTAACTTGCCCTAAAAAGTGCATTGTAGAAATACATATTTCTGTAGCTTCTTATTGGAGATTAAAGTGTATGCTAAGATCATGTCTTTTTGTCCACAATAGATATTGCTATTGCAGACATGAGTGATGTCTCCAGACATCCGTTGCTCTTCTACTATCTTGGAATCCGTGAAAGTTTCAACATGACTAATAACGTGATCCTTTACTACAACACAAACGTTGACATAGCTGTTTTACTGGAGGTAAGTTTACATTCTCCTTATGGTTGCTTTGTTTAGGAAAGTAGCACTGTAGCACTGTCCTCCGTTGTTCATCGATTTGCTCAAATGGGCACAATAACGTCTCCATGTGAGACTTGTTGTTACTGTTTTTGTCACATCGAATACGCCACAGGGAGCTTGCCAGGCTCTGCCATGCGGGCAGGATACTCTTGGTAGCTTGCCGGGCTCTCCGAGAGGGACGGAAGAATCGAACCCGGGTTGGCCACATACAAGGCAAACACCTTACCTGCTGTGCTTCATTTGAAATGTACATGCAGCATGTGAGATTAGAGTCAAATCATAATGATATACTTTTGTCAAAACATAAGGATTTGGAGTCAAACCATAAAGATTAACTTTTTACCACTCTAGATTCTAGCACATTTAGATGACTTCCTGACAACTGTGATCCTCATATGTGCTCAAAATATGTAGGCAACATGATCATTTCTAGGGAAGAACAGGCAAAAATGCTCGTGTTAATTTCTTTTGAAGCAAACACACCACTCATAATCTCTTAATTGCCAATTTTATCTATGTATTGAAGAATAAATTCTTGGTGATCAGAGAGATGATACAGGGATTAACATGTTTTCCTTGCATGTTGCCTACCTTGGTTCTATCCCTGGCACTGCAGTTGGTCCTCCAAGCATAGCCAAGAGTAGTGCCATTCATCACTTCTGGGTGTGGCCCTCACCCCAAAACCAACAAACAGTAACTTAGAAATCAGTTATCAAACCTGGATATTAATATGAAGACATTTAATAGTAAGGTACCTATTCTTAGAAATATTTAAAACGAAGAAATGTGAAAAGATAGTTATTAAGACATTTTCTGTAGGGGGTGCCACACTTGTGGTGCTCAGGGCTTACTCCTGGTTCTGTGCCCAGGGATACTTCTGTCAGTGTTCAGGAACCACAGGTGGTACTGAGTTCAAAAACAGGCCAGTCATCTGCAAAGCAAGTTCTTTACCTGCTATACTATGTCTCCAGCTGAGAAACATGAAGTTTGAATGTATATTATTTTCAATTCAATACTTGTGTTTTTCACTGTGCTTCATTGAACTGCCAAATGCCCCATGATCTAGGTAAGTTTTAATTATGAATATTGTGGAAAACCTTGTGATAAAAAGGAGATAGGTAGTTGTATCTGCTCCCAAATAAGCAGTCTGCACTTGTAATCAGAAAAAAAATAAAGCACAGAACATGTAAAGAATATTTTGCAATGTAGCTGTTTAATTGCCTTTTCTCTTTTTCCTGCACAGATTGGCTTTTAAGGCATGAATGGTATATATAATCAGGGACTGCAGAACCATCAAAATAAATTAACTAACTATAACTGTTGTCATTGAAATAGAAAATGCCTAGACTGCTATAGTGAGGTGTCATGAATTCTGCCAGCAATACCCCTTCTGTAGAAAGGCTGACTAGGGGTATCCTACAGATTTTGGTGGATTAAAGAAATAATTTAAAAACAGATATTGGATACAAGTGTTTATTTATTCTTCTTTGCCATCACTGATATTCACTCAGTTTGAAAATATGAGGTGCAGGGCATTCAGAGCCCTAAACCTGAATGGCAGAATATCTTTAGAAAGAAAGGATTGACATTTGTCAAAGTCTTTATAACCATATATTCCCCCAATATTATAAAGCTATCCAATAGTCACTTTTACTTAAAATGTTAATTTTACAATGTTTAGAAGTTCTTCCAGTATGAAATTCTTCGAAGGAGCAAGTTTCTAGTGATTAATTCTTGCTCTGAAGTGGGTGTTGAGCAATGGGGATAGGGACGGGTACACAGCACTTGTTAATGCATATGGAAATGCAGTGGCATAAATGCAGTGTTCCCAGCAATTCAGCTTCTTGGCATCACCCCCACCAAACAAAAACATCAATTCAAAAATACAAAATGGGGAGGAGTTGTATTGTAGATGTGTGTGTAATGGAATACCGTATAACCACAAGAAGATGAAATCATGCAGTTTGCTGCTACTTGGACAGAACTATAAGACATTTGAAGCAAAATAATTTACGGGGAGAAGGAAAAATACCAGATGTCACTTGTCTGTAGTATATATATAGAGATAAAAGAAAAGTAATGGAAGATATCAAGTGCTTGCAACCCCTTGTAAATTCAGGAATTTACAGAACTGAGAATGTCAGGTAAGGTGAAGAGTAAATGGGGGCTATGATGAAATGGTCAGGGGTCTTGAACACTTTGGTGGTGGAGAGATGAGATACATAAAAACCATAAGCATTAACACTTGAACATGTGACCTAAACTATAATAATTAATTTTTTTAAAAAAAGGTTGTTAGGGTTGATGGTAGTAAGAGAACTTTGAGACATTGATGAAGGAAATTGACACTGGTAGTGGGCATGAAGTTCGAACAAATATTCCTGAGATTTATTTTAACATCATTGTAAACCATGGTACCAGAAAAATTAATAAAGTCAAAAATTATTTACTAAAATTAAAATGTGAGTTTTAAAAATAGGTGCATTTATTTTTTCTTTTTCTTTTCAGGAATTTGTAACTCGGAAAAACAAAGTAAGTACTACACTTTCAGATTTTTTAACATAGATTAAAATGTGTAAAATGCTTGCCTGAAAATCCCAGAGAGCAAAGTTTATGAGTTGTGTTTCTGAAGGACAGCTGTAGTTAACCTTTTCCTAAGTTTTCCTAACTGAAGTTGAGTCTTCAAATTCATTTCTGTTAAGGTCTAGAATGTATCACCTATGTTTTCTTCTATGTATTTTATGATTTGGGCTCTAAAATATAAATCACTCATTTTAGTTCATTATGATGCTAAACTGTAGTCTAGTTTAAAATTTTTTTCACTGATTATGCAGTTCTCTCAGTACCATTTCCTTTCTCTGTTATGTACACTTGGTTACTCTGTCATAGCTTAATATGTGGGTTATGTTCCTTAATATGTCCATTAATATGTAGGTTTATTTCTGGTCTTTTTATTGATCTGTGTACTTGCTTTCCCCAGTATTGTGCTTTTTAAATTATTGTTTCCATATAACATTGTTTGAAGACATGAAGCCTCCAATTTTCTTTTCTCAGCATTTCTTTGGCTATTTGGGGTCTTACGTAGTCCTGTAGAAATTTTAGAATTGTTTAATTTCATTGGGGAAAATGCTTTTAGTATTTTGTGTGGATTGATTAAATTTTAACCTTGTTTTAGATAAGATTATCATTTAATAATATTTAATCTTCCAATCTTTAAACACAGGATATCTTTCTATTTCTTTGCTGTCTTCTATTTCCTACACTAATAACTTAAAAATTTCAGTCTTCCACCTCCTTTGTTAGAGTCACTTCCAGATGTTTTACTTTTTTGGTTGGGGACATGCCTGGCACTGCTCTGGGGTTGTTTCTGGTTCTTCTCTGAGGCATCACTCCTAGAGGACTCTGGGGACCATGTGGCATGCCAGGGATCAAACCTACTGTACTCTCTCCATCACCAGTGTTTTTACCTTCTTAACTGGGTTTTGTTTTTCTTTTCAATTGATGTGCTCAGGAAATACAAAACACAAAATTTTCTCTGTATTTAAGTAACACAGCAGTAATGCCACACTTAGTGGGACCAATTTCAAAACCAAAATATAAATATTACGCTTACCAACTTAGTAAGACTTTGGTGGCCATGATACTCATTTTCTTTAAATTGAAATACAGTTCATATACCATAAAATTTGCCACTCATCTATATGATGGCTTGAGCATTTTGTGTATCATAGCCTAATATAAGGAGATTTTAGAATTAAGCTGGATGACAGTAACAAATATCCTGGGAATAAAGGGGAAGGCTATGAGATCTGTCTGACTCTGGGGTCATCTCAGGGCCACTTGGTTAGCCTTGCTGGAACTTGCTTTCCTCATATATAAAATAAAGGTATTAATTAGCTGATTTCAGGTTCTGTGCCAGCTCTGAAATAATATGATGACTCTATGAGAGCCATTCAGTTTGAAGAAAACAGATGGACACTTACAGTAGTACAGTTGGCACTGCATAGCATGTTTTCATCAAGGATATCTTCATTTACCTTTAAAAATACTATTACCTGATTTTACAATTGAAATTGTTGTCCAGATTTTGCATATTTGATTATCTTTTGACCAGGTAAATAGAAAAGAAATAGTGAGTAGAATGTTATTCACATTGATTTTAAAAATATATAATTATGTTTTCCTTGATGTAAATGTGCACTTATTATTTTTTATTCTTCTTTAAGTGACATAGAGAAATATATTAGACTTATATCTTTATTGTCATTAGTTTTTTTGAAGTGTACTTTTTGAACTTAAATTGACTTTGTCAAACGTAAACATAGTAAATACACTTTAAGAAATTACTGTTCCTTTTTGCTCATTTACTGCTTAAATTCCCTTGAGAACAAACTTCTGTGCTACTTTCACTTCAGTTTTCACCAGGGATTTTGCAAGCCTTATGTGTTCAAGCTTCAAGTTCCAAAGTACCACATTCTGCCAACAATCAAGACATGCTTTCATTCATAGTACTCAGAAATCATTCTGTTTGGGGTAGTATTAAATAATCTTCCATTTTGTCTTACATGTTCTCTCATTTTGACTACATGATTTTCTGAAATATTAAATTTTTGTATCATTATTTTATATATATTTTCTAGGGCCAGAGTGATAATACAGGTAGGGCACTTGCCTTGCACGTGATCAGCCTGGGTTTGATCTCCAACACCACTTATGGTCACCAGAGCCTGTTAACTGTGCGAGCCCTAAGCAAAGAGTCAGGCTTAAGCCCTGGGCACAGAAAATTAAAAAAATATTTTCTGTACTGTCAAATTGTTGAAAGTCTTCATTATGAAATCTGTTTGGATAAATTCTTGTGCAGTTTATCTTCTCTGAAGCTTGCAGTTTATAAAGTTTTTGCTACTATTGACTAACTTTGCTGTATGCTGTCAGCATAAGTAAAAGGTACTCAGCTAAGGAAGCCCATAATCGTTTCCACCCTGGCCTTCTTAAGCCCTGAAAATTCTTGTCCCAGGTAACCACAGAGGATCCAGCTGAGGGATGGTTTTATTAGTCCTTGTTTTTGATAAAACCCAGTGAAAAATTAGGTTGAGATCTTGATGCACTCTGTTTACCTGGATTGCCTGTAAATACTGATACCTGTTGGTTGACCGCAATTGTATTGCTATTCATGGGGCTCTTCATATGTGATGCTCACTGAAGGGCCTCTAATATTTTAGGGCTTCAGTATAAGCCAGGAGTTCAGAGAAAGGCCTCTTAGACTTGTAGGGTATGGTGCCATTTTGTTAGTGTGATGGAGCTTATGGAACCTTTGACAGAATATCTTTTAAAATGTGTCAGTGATGGAGGGATCGCTCAGGATAGGAGGTGGGCTGAAAGACAAAAGAACAAACAGGGTGGCCTCTCAGTATCTGTATTGCAAACCATAATGCCCAAAAGTAGAAAGAGAGTTAAAAGGAAAGTGCATTTCATAGAGGCAGGGGTGGCGTGGGGAGGGGGTGGCAGGAGGGATACTGGGGACATTGGTGGCATTAGTGGTGGAAAATGTACACTGGCGGAGGGATGGGTATTTGATCTTGTATGACTGAAACTCAATCATGAAAGCTTTGTAACTATTTCACACTGATTCAGTTTTTAAAAATGCTTAAATTCAAGACAGATGACACTGAAATATAGTTACCAAATATTTTTTAATATTCTGTGTTACATTTTATATGCTTCATTAATTTTGCAAGATTAATAGTAAGTCTAAACACTATCAATTTTTGGAATAGTGACATTATAAAAGTGTTTTGGGGATCTCTGTAGGAACTGTAATAGGATATGAAAAATTCCATGAGTTCTGTTGGTGAAAAAGTTCCAGGTCTGATTCAAAGTGCTGTCACATTTCAATTAAAGATAAATTATGACAGATGTAATTTTTTATTAATCAAGTTAAGACTCCTAAGAATTAATGGATACATGGCTCAGAACTCATGGTCTGGTACAGGACTATTGAACATAACTCACACTTACTGACAGCACATTATGTACCATGTTCATATGTTAGCCTCTGTCACCTAATATGGTTGATAGTATTATTGTCCTCACTTTAAAGATAAGAAAATTTATGTTCAGGTAAGTACTTTTTCGTTCACCTCAGTATAGGGTAGAGTTGGGATTTAGTCCTCGGCCATATGAGTTCTGTTTTCTTACAGTGCTGGAGATGATATGTTCTATTTCATGTGGTATTTTTTTCATTTTGGTCTTTGGGCCACACCTCAGGTCTTGCTCCTAGTTTTGTACTCAGGGCCATGCCAGGGATTGAACCAGGGTCAGCCATGTGCAAGACACTTATTTATCCCTTGTACTATTTCTCTAGCTCCCCAATTTCATTCGCAATATGACATTTTTCACCTAACATAATAAATGTGAAAATAATATTGCCCATCCCTGCTGAGGGGGATAATAAAATGGAAATGCCTTTGTACATTATAGATCGATGTATAACCTGTTCTGTTTTGAGAGCAACTGAGCTGCACATATCAGGAACCTTTACAGACTTTAATGATTTCACTCCTGGAAAGCTACTCTTAGGAAAAGATGGAACAATAAAGATGCCATATGCAAAGTTGTTCATCTCAATTAAAATTTCAAGGGGCCAGTAGGTAACTGAAAGGGCTATGGTTACTAATAGGTAACTCAAAGGGCTTGCATGTGGAAGTCCTAGGATTCAGTTGCTAGTACAGCACAGCATGGTTATCAGAGTACCATCAGAAGTGCCATGAAGCATCACTAAGTGACCTTTCCAGAGAAAAATTCAAACTTGAAACCTAAAGGCTAGAGAGATAGTACAGGAGTTAAGGTACTTCCCTTGCATGCAGCAAGGCCCACTTTGATCCCCACCACCATAAGGAGTTACCGCACTGATTGTGGAGGTAGGAGTATATAGATATGGTTTAAAACCCACCCTGAAACAGAAATTAGATAATGGGAGAATAATATGTGCTATATATATTCACTAGACAGTATATTAGGCATTAAAAATTATGGCATTTGACACTATATAATCTAGATTTTGTAATAGAACTTTTCTCTTTTGTGTGTTGGAGATGGAACCCAGGGTCTTACCCATGTGAGGCATTTGTCCTACCTTTGCACCACATCACCAACCTATGTAATGTGAGTTTTTTAAAAAGCACGTGTTGTTTAAACTAATGATGACATTGAACAAGCTGTTCATGATTGTGATTGTTAAAGGTGGTAGCACTGTAGCACTGTCCCCCTTTTGTTCATCAGTTTGCTCGAGCGGGCACCAGTACTGTCTCCATTGTGAGGGTTGTTACTGTTTTTGGCATATCAAATACGCCATGGGGAGCTTGTCAGGTCTTGCCATGTAGGCAGGATACTCTCGGTAGCTTGCCGGGCTCTCCGAGAGGGACAGAGGAATCGAACCCGGGTCGGGTGTGCAAGGCAAACACCCTACCCGCTGTGCTATCGCTCCAGCCCTTTTAGAGGTGGTAGTTCGGGAAATTTCTATTACTAAGGTAAGAACTAAAAGCTTGAAAGGAAAAAATCCTCCACTGCTGTCCCCACGGTGTCAGAGACCATTGGCTTTTACTGTGCTTTCTGATAACACTTACTATACCAGAATTATCCTTTTGGAAAATTTTTCTTCTATCATTTGAAGATGGTTGGACCTATTTTTTTAAGAACAAAAATTCAGCATACAATTACTGGTGCTTTCATTTGAAAGTGTATGCATCACTCTGAAATATAAACATTGGTCTCATTTTTTTCTATAAAATTTCTTAAACTTTATTAAAGTGCATACTTTATGAACGATTATTATAAAGGACTTATTTTTGCTTTCCCATGACTTTGGATTCATTAGCCTTGCTCAGTTGCTTTCAGACTTCATGAATTCCCTTTCTCCTCATTTTTAAGGTAAAGGTAAGGTAAAGGCCCTCCCGTTGATCGTCGATTTGCTCGAGCGGGCCCAGTAACGTCTCCATTGGAGACTTTGTTGTTACTGTGTCTGGCATATCAAATACTCTCGGTAGCTTGCCAGGCTGTCATTTTTATCTGTGGCTATTTGCTCAAGGGTTCAGATTCCCCATGGAATCCTAAACAGCCTTTGCTACTACTTCTGAATGTAGCATATGTTCCTTAATCAGGATTTGAGTATGACTAGAACAAAGTGTGCTTCTGTGGTATATGGGAAGAATTTGTTTCTTTTAGGAAGAAGCTAAATAAGACTTTAGTAGAAATGATTTGTTGGGAAACAGTTTTAAGACAATGATTTTATACAAATGGGTTGGAGTATTACACCTTTTATGGAAACTCAAGATTATTTATAAATATTTTAATTTATTTCTTTTTATCATGTTTTAAATATTTCTAGAATTACTGGCATATCTTTATTATGTGAATTAGAATTGCCATCTGGTATTACTCAGTAAAGATAATAGTTCGCCTGTACTTATTAAGTAACATTCCTCTACCAGCCACACAGAAAGAAGATATACTTTTGCATGGCAATCCTTGGTGATTGATCTCTGGGTATAAGGATCCATAGTTGGGGACACAAAATAAAATGTGATTTATTTCCAATATTTAAAGGCTAAAATCTTTACTAATGAAATTTAGAAACATCTATTGATCAGTTTAACATTCAACACCAAAGATTTTATTGTCATATCTCCTGTATGTTAAAGCTTATCAAATGGAACAGTTTACTGCTTTATGTCCTCCAGGTTTACAGTAACATGGTATAATTCATCAGCAGACATTTTCTCCTTTCCTGTCCTACTAGACTTCTGTGCCAATCTTCTGCTCCCCTTCTTCACCAATGACTGTGCATAACATGTGTGTTTCTTGTTCTCTAGGTAATTAGCGGAAACTATTATTTCATCCCGTACGTTGTGACACCACGTGCTGAATATTTTTGCTGTGATAACAAAGTCCAGAATCAGGCTTCTGAGTACCTACAACCCAACTGGTACACCATTCTCAGCCCACTCTGTGTACCCCTGGTGGACAAGTTTTATAGCCTCCTCATGGACATCCACTCGAAGTCATGGTAATTCTAATTAGACATCCACAATCCTATGAGCTTTGTCAGGTTTTGTCCTTCACATTCATGTTAGCAGTATACCCTCAAAATATTGTTCTCCAGGCAGTACATTTAAGTCCTCTTGGAATCCATTGTCCCTTTCTACCTTACTACTTGACTGAGGCTCAAGTTTGAGGGCAAGTTTGAGCTTGTATCTAGTTCTGATTCCATATGTGACCTTCATAAGGAATCTCCTCTGGAACCTACTTTTGTCTAGAAAATAAGGAAGTTAAGTCACTAATTTCTGTACAGTTCCTATTCACTGCTAAGAGTTTATGTTTCAAGACATTTTTTAATATAATCTCCCTATCCCTTGACTCCATCCATTGTTAAGATTGTTTAAGTGCCTCAGCAAGATTATTTTGACTTTTAAGTTATTGTGGTAGATAAGTATAGATGCTCTAATTTTATACAAAGATCCTGACCTCAGGATGTGTTGCATTTCTTTTATTTACGTTATGTCAGACAGTGTGTGGTATAGTGACTCAGAGGTAGACGGATTGCAGTTGGGATTCTAGTATAGGTGATTCCCTCATGGTATGGCTTTGTGAAGTCAGTTCATCTCTTGGAACATCAGGGCTCAAGAAAATCATACCTGAAAATCTCCTAAAAGTTGAAGGTAGATAACCTGTTTTACCTAACCAAAGGATCCAATTATTTCACTTGCAACCAAAGAAACCCATTTCCTTCACCAGTGTCCCAAGTACCCCTACCGCCCCCTTCCCCCTATTCTAAAGACAAAATCTTAAGTTCTGCTGATTGTGATCATTTTTCCCCTTACTATGCTTATTTTTTATATCATATTTGGGATGGATCTTTCTTTTTAATTGTGGAGGTGGTGACACCTACACACATATAGTGAATAAAGCTACACTCCTGGAATTCCACAAAATAATAAAAAATAGATTGATAATTTTTTTCAAAAACTAACTCTTTAAGGTATCTCAACTTAAAGAATTAATTTATGAATATGCGCTAATACATTTTAAGATTTACGTGAAACAGATAAATCTTACACATGCAAAATTAGTAAGAATAAAGAGAGTTAAGAAAAATTCAAGAGGAGAATATGAATAAGCCTATAGAAGTATAAAAGTGTTTTATCCTAAGAAAGAGAATATTTGCTGAAATGTTAATTAGTTATTGTGAACGTAAAAAGTCCTAGCAGGATAGGCATAAACAAATTTTCTTACTCTTGTAGAGGTGAACCAAAAGCACTGAGTGAATGCCATAGGTAAAGGTAAAGGTAAAGGCCCTCCCGTTGATCGCCGATTTGCTCGAGCGGGCCCAGTAACGTCTCCATTGGAGACTTTGTTGTTACTGTGTCTGGCATATCGAATACTCTCGGTAGCTTGCTGGGCTCTCCGAGAGGGGCGGAGGAATCGAACTCGGGTCGGCCATGTTGGCTGCGTGTAAGGCGAACGCCCTACCCGCTGTGCTATCGCTCCATATTCATTGCCAAATGCTGAGGAGTTTGTCTTTCCTTTTGTTTTTTTGTGGTTGTGGGGTTTGGGTTTTTCCGCAGTGCTCAGAACTGACTCCTAGTTCTTACACTCAGGGATCATTCCTGGCAGGGCTTGAAGATTGGGGGCCATATGGGATACTGGGGATTGAACCCTGGCTGGCCATGTGCAAGGCAAGCACCCTGCTCACTGTAAAATAGTCCTTTGTCTTTCCTTTCAAAGAATTTCATTAAATGTTTTTGGTAAGACTGGTTTTTGGGAGGAATGTTAAATAGCACTAGATTTATCTTTTTCTCCCCCTTTTTATTGAATCACATTGAGATATAATTACAAAATTGTTCATGATTGGCTTTCAGTCACATAACGTCCCAACATCCATCCCTTCAGCAGTGTACATTTCCCACCACCAATGTTCCCAGTTTCCCTTTAGTCAACCCCAACCTGTACCTCAGCCTACCTATATTGCAGACACTTTTCTTCTGTTCTCTCTATCTCACTCTCTCTTCTCTCTCTGTCTCTGTCTCTCTTTCCTCTTTTTAGGCATTGTGGTTTTCATGCAAATATTTAAATGTTTTTAAAATAATGGAAACAAAAATTGCAGAAGAAGTTGTAAAAATATTGAAAATAATACTAAGGTTTCACGTAGGTGGGCTGGTAAGACTGATTTTGAGGTTATGAATTTTCTAAGCTCTTGCCTGTTCCTAAAGCTCTCTATCATTTCTTCAAATCTGAATGATAATCTAGCTGGATAAAACATTATTGGTGATATGTTCAGCTTCTTGAATTTTTGTATTATATCCCTTCATTCTATTCCGCTTCATAAAATTTCATTTGATCATTATGAATCTTGTGGGCTTTTCTTTGTATGTAAGGTCCTTTTTTTGAACTTGCTGCTTTCGATACTTTTATTTCTCTTTGGCTTTTGTCATTTTGCGTACTGTTGTGGTGTGAGAGTTGCCCAAGAAATTTAAAACATACTTGATTGCCGAATTGAAGAGCCTTCATTAACCTGCAAAGGCTGCCCTGCTTGGAAACAAGAGTCCCAGTCTGCTATACAGCTCCAAGCGTGAGCCCATACAAGGTTTATAAGCATTTTTTATTACATCCTGTTTTGACCACATCAGTGGACTTTCTATCAGCTAAAACAAGCAAGCAGTCAAGCATATCTTTAGTACAGAAGCCAGATGTTTTTGCAGTTAGCCTTGAATGTTTTTAAAAATTAGAAATTGGGGGGGGGGGTATCTGAAGAGAGCACTACATATTTATAATTGTCTAAATGGAATGTATTTCCATATGTTTCCAGGGCATCCTGTCCCTACATCCTTAGAATGTCCTGATTTGCTTTTACTTCTGTCTCCCTGGGTTAATTCATAGCATATGTCTTGTAGTTTTCCTATACAAATCTATTTTTGCTGGGACCATTTGGCCCTTTTGGATCTGCATCCCTGTATTCCTCTATTTGGAGAAATTCTTATCTGTGATTTATTTAACTATTGTTTCTTCATTGAATTTGCCTTCCTGTTCTTCAGGACTCTGATGATTCTTATATTATTCCTCTTGAACTCATCTCATGGTTCTGTGGTATGTTACTCATTTCTTTTCAGACTATTTTCCAACTTCTTTTTTTTCTGGAAAATTCCCTCAATCTCATCTTGGAGTTCCTTTATCATTTTCTTAGCTGCTGTTAATCTGATACCGAGAACTTCTATTGAGTTCTTTATTTCACTTACCATATGCATCATTTCTCCTTGTAGTTTTCTTATTACTGAGGTCATACTTTCTTTTGCTTTGCTAACTCCTATGCCATCGTTTCTTTGAACTCTTTAAACACCTTCAAAATGCTGTCACTAAAGTCATTTTCGGAGGATTTATTGATCTGGTTGGTGTTGATCTGGAGGCTCAACACCTTACCCATCACCACCCAGATCAAGAAATCCTCCGAAAATGACTTTATAGCCTCCTGTGTTACTACTGTGCTCATTGAGCTTGTTTATTTTCTAAGAGTCTTCCCCATTGAGTTTGCTGTGCTCCTCCTATGCTGAGGGTAAATTTTTGTAGTTAGTCCCCCTTGGAGACTCTGAGTAATCAAGACAGAAATAATTCCCCACCTTCTCCCAGTTATGGGATGTGTGACTGAGCAGTCTAAAATTTGATGAGGAGCTCTTGTGCAGCCACATATGCTGGGGCTCACCCTGTTGAAATGATGGAAGTCAGGCATGGAGGCTGCTGGGCCTAGCCAGAAGGAAGGGATATCCACCTGCTCCCATTCTAGAAAAGGCCTCAGAGTTGTCAATTGGGAGATCAGTTTACCTGATAGGGTGTGGCAAGGAGTGGGGGTTCAGGAGCTGTGGAGCTAGGCCCATTGGAAAATAATGTTGGATGATTTCAAAGATGGTGACCCTTTACTCTTTCTCAAGGCTTTGGTACTTTTGCTTGACTCTGAGAATCTCTTATTAGCCAGGGTAGTAACTGTTATATTAAAGTGCCTTGTAACTAAACTCAGATTGAACCATCTCAGAGGATGGAATTAATAGGTAGTCAGTCCTATTTGTCATCTGAGTACAAGTAATGTCTCTTTGAAAGTATTTTCAAGGTTTTCACGAAGTGATTATTTTTCTTTGTTACTTAGCAGTTAGTGGCTTTAAAATGTGACCAATAAGTAGAACATGTCTCCCTTTGGTCTAGTACATGGAAGCACAGATCTGGGCTTAGATACCCCAAGTGTTAGTCTAAATTGTATCAGTGACAACCATATTTGTTAGAGCTACTCAAGGGTCCTGAGTACAGGGAGATGTTACCAGAGGTTTTTTTTCCCCCTCAGTATTTACTTCAAACAAGCCTTATTAAATGACATCCAGAGATCCAGAGGAAGATATCAAGGTGATGATCTGGTGAGGGAACTGACTCGGATCAAACTCCGCATGGATAACATGGAGGTTCTGACCTCAGAGATCATTGATAGTTTGCTGATATCCTACCGTGATGTTCAGGTATGGCATACTCTTGAGATTTTTTTCCTTGATTTTAGGAATTCTTTACAAGCAATACTCTTATCCAAGATGTATGGTTAGACTGCTGTATAATGGGGGAAATGGTAAGGTGGCTAGGTTATTAGGTTACCCACTGTATTTGTTGGGGTGGAAATATTGGAAATTTTGTTCTGTCACAAAATCACTCCAACAAAATCTCCCAGACAGTACTATTCAATGAAGGAGGCTTAGAATGGAAGAGTTTCTGTGCCCTTCATACTAGTCATTTTCCCAAGCTCTTTAAAAATCTAATTATTTCATCTTTCCTTTAAGCATATATTGTATATGCTCTGATCACCCCTATTTTACAGAGAAGATAAGCCACTTTGTAGAGTTTAGATAGCAGTTGATGAATTGTAACGGAGACAACCAGCTCTATCATGCTTGGTCTTCGCTAATCTGTTGTGCTACTTCCCTTAGCACAGATCTTAGACCTCTGTCATTTCCTTCTTTGTTTTCCCTACCACCCATCAGTGATTGGGAGAGAAGGAGGGGTAGAATCACATCTAGGATCCAGAGAACGCTGTAATTGAAGATAAATATCAGAGACCCCTGAAGAGTTCGTGACACTGAACTTAGTGGGATATGAAAATCTGAAAGAAATTAATCATTTTTTTCTCCTTTTTAAATACCACTAAACTAGTTCTTTTTGTTTGTTTTGGAACCATACCTGGTGGTGCTCAGGGCTGACTCCTGTCTCTGTGCGGGAACACTCCTTGCTGGCTTGGGGTATCATAAGGGTTCATAGATTGAACCGAGTTTGGCCACATGAAAGACAGATGCCATATGCTACTCCTTCTGCCAGTTCCAGACTATAACTTGCCAACATGCTTTCTGTAAGCTAGTTAGGAGTACTGTACTAATGCTCCAACCCCACCACTTAACTACTTCTAAGAATGTCCTACCTTCCTCCCATTTGGAGGATGTACCTTACCTGCCAAATTCTGCAAAACTTATCATACGCTACTGGCTAAAGACCTCTAAATTAGAGAGGTCACTTAAAACCTCAACTGAGAATAGTCAATTACTGAATAGTAAATCAGGCCCCCAGTGCTAATCAGAGTGTCTGCTTAATCAAATAACAGATGTTATTAGGAATTATGGTTATGATTTAATCCTACCCTATGGGGCAAGAAATGCAGAATGGCGTTCTGGTGAAGTCTTCCCCCTTAAGCTGCTGGCTTCCTTCTGTTCTTGCTTGCATGCATCTCTTCTTTTTATAACTTTACATGAATGAAATTGTTCGGCGCAGTAGTAAGCCACAGACTTCTGGGAATGCATTGCTTTCCCGTGGTAGCAGCTTCAAGCACAAAGCAGGCATGGAATTTTGTGGGAAGTCCTGCCCTAAGTGGCTGACAGCATGATGGCCAGTAGCAGTCTGGCAGAAAGGGTAGCAAATAGCACTGCACACTGGACCCCTCTAAACATTGCAATAGTGTTTCTGAGGTGATAAGCATTTCAGAGTATTGGTTTTCAGTCAGGACTTTTGATGATACCTGATTCTCACAGGTCTGGGAAAGGGAGAGGTGCCACTGGCATCTAATGTGTGGAGGCTAGGAATGCTACTCAGAATTCCACAATCCAGAGGCTAGTCCCCAGGACAAAGGAGCAAAACAGTGCCAAGGTTGAGAAACACTTTTGTACGTTAATTTAATCATTCCTTGCAAAATAAAGACAGGATGTATCCTTCCTATACGTGAGAAGGAACTGTAAAATTTTGTTCTGTTTATTACCAGCTCCTTTGAACCTGTAATTCTACTAGTGGTGGGAAATCCTGTACACAAGATGTTACTTATGTATATCCTGGCTGTTTGGCCCATTAGCTTTCTTGTGTGGCCTTTGCCTTTAAACTCCTGTTTTTGATCCTTTTGTGGATTCTAATGCAGGAACTCTGTTTTTATTGTCTCTTGCAGTTATCTTATTTTAAAAATACTATTTCTGTTCGATTAAAGGCTGTAAGTAATTTGGCAAAAGGCTGGCTATGGAGAAAGATTTACATTTAAATGCCAAGGCTAGCCTGTGTTTATGTGTTCAGAAGAATTGTTTTTTTTGTCAAGGGGTGGGGGGATTAGTGCTATTACCTTTTTCTCACCTTGAATATTTTACCCAACAGGACTATGATTCTATGATAAAGCTCGTAGAAAATGTGGCAATGAGTCCTGTCTGTGACTTGAGTGACCAGAATATTATTAGATTCCACTACGCGTTTGCACTGAATAGGTAAGAATGGTGATATGTATCAAGAGGGATTTTTGAGACATGCCATCTGCTTAGTTCTGCTTCCTCCTTTCATTCACATCTATTGATGATGGGCCCTATCATACACTCATTGCTAAGATTATGGAAATTGGTAAGACAGCATCTTGGTCTTCAGGTACTTTGAAAAGTAGATTCTAGCTATGGGGTATATTCTAGTGGGTCAAAATGATAAATTTTATCTCTCAGTGAAAGTTTGTCCAAACTGCTATGGCATAACAGTCTATTCTGCTTGGGTGTCAAAGATAATTTTCTGAACTCTTTGGGGCTTGATTTTAAAGAATAATTATCTTGTGGACAAGAGAATGTGGGATGGTGTTGGTTGAATGGCCATTCCATTTGGCCAGTACAGAAGCATGTACATCAGTATTTTTTGTACCGCATGTACTTAGAGAATATTCATTGTTACTAGAACAGAAGAAGTGAATCATACCATTGTATGATTGGGAGGAAAGGTATTATATTTCTAAACTTCAACATGTAGATAGACTGGGCTCGATTAGAACATTGAGACTTGGAAATTCCTCCCTTTTTGGACACCAGGAGCCTCCAAATCTTATACACATGCCAAGGGTACTTGCTAAAATGTTACAACACCAGAACCCCAAATTCAGTAATTAAATCTAGCTTGAACTTTTCCCACATAGTCTAGAGATGAGTGGACCCAACTGGAGGAATAGTTCTAACTATTGAGGAACCTAAATTCTGATCATTTTATAGCTGACGATTTTCTGTCTCATAGTTGAAGCTTCATCACCAGTACTCTGAGTTCCAGCCTATGAATAAGGGAGAAAGAGGCCAAGGCAAGCAGTTTCCTTTAAAGCAAATATAATTTGCACATATCACGTATACGCACATTCTTTTGGTGAGAATTTAGTCACATGATCTCCATCTAGCTCTAAGGGAATCTGGGAAATGCACTTTCTCGCTGGATAGGCAAGTACCCATCCAAACTGCTTCTGAAATTTTGGAGCATAAGTGTGCATTTCATGTATCAAATCTCATAAAATTACAGATTCATAAATTTTTTTGTCCTACAATCTCTCTTCCCTCACTGATAATGTATTGGGAAGAACAGTAGCATTAGGACTATGCCAGGGTACACTTCCTGCTGGGCCTCTTCTCTTCCAGAGCCCAGCACTGCACTGCACTGCACTGTCCTCCTGTTGTTCACCAATTTGCTCGAGCGGGCCCAGTAACGTCTCCATCATGAGACTTGTTGTTACTGTGTTTCGCATATCGAATGTGTCACGGGTAGCTTGCCAGACTTTTCCGTGTGAGCGAGATACTCTCGGTAGCTTGTCGGGCTCTCTGAGAGGGGAGGAGGAATCGAACTCAGGTTGGCCAGTTTGGCCACGTGCAAGGCAAATGTCCTACCTGCTGTGCTATCGCTCCAACCCTCAGAGCCCAGAATGAATCATAATGAACCATAGAAAAAAACTTAGAAGGTACTCAAACCTGGCTTGAATGTTAGAGAGTTCCGGTGCCCCCTCACCAACCTTCCATGACCAATATCTTCTCAGAGAATGAATAAAGTGAGAGAGATGACCTAAATTAGCGAACCTTTAAAAGTTCTGGTTGCGTAAAGTAACAAAATAGGAGACTAACACCCAAGAATAGCCGAGATAAGTACCAAGAGGATTACTTCATGGCTTGGATGGAGGCCAGCCGCACATGCTAGGGGAAACGGCAGCTCAGACAGAGAAGGGAGCACCAAATAAAAGGTGTTGGGAGGTTCCTCTCAGGATGGGAAATGCGTGATGAGAGTAGACTATAGACCGAACAAGATTGCCACTCAGTGTCTCTTTTGCAAACCACAGCACTCAAGAGGAGAGAGATAACAAAAGGGAATGCCCTGCCACAGAGGTAGGGTGGGATGGTGGGATGGGGGGTGGGAGGGATACTGGGACTGGTGGTGGTGGAGAATGGGCACTGGTGGAGGGATAAGTATTCAATCATTGTATAACTGAAACCTAAGCACAAAAATTTGTAAGTCTACAAGTGTACCTCATGGTGTTTCACTAATAAAAATTTAAGGAAAAAAAAGATCTGGTTACTCAGGGACTTTGTCAGCATCTACACTAGCTTGTCACTAGCTGCATTTGTAGGAAAGATAGTGACAAATTAGTCTGTGGTTCCAGGAGTTTGCTCATAATATGAAATCACATTTACTTCATTTTAGTTTGAACCAAAATTTATAGGCAGTGGAATGTGTAAATAGTAAGTATTTACCTTTATTATTTACCATGGGAATATCCTTGAGTTTCAGATCCTTGGATTCAACCAACCATGGAGATAGGCCTATGATAGCTATGTTAGTACTGAACATGTACAGACTTTTTTGGTCATTATTCTGTAAATAATATAGTATAAAATTATTTATGTAACATTTGCAACATCTGAAGTATAAGAACTCTAGAGGTAATTCACAGGAGGGTGTTCATAGATTATATGAAAATATTGCAACATTTTATAAAAGTACCTAGAGCATCTTCTAAATTCGGTATCTGCAAGTATTTAAGTATTTACCTTTATTATTTACCATGGGAATATATGTATGTTTTATTTACCATGGGAATATCCATGAGTTTCAAATATGGTACCTGTAGGGATCTAATAGCATGTCCAAATTGGAAAGCTTTTTGGTGGTTTGTTTTTTGTTTGTTTGGGTTTGTTGGAGAGTCACACGCAGTGGTGACCAGGGATTGCTCCTGGCTTTGCACTCAGAGATCACTCCTGGTGGGGGTCAGGGAGCCATATGGAGTGTCAGGGACTGAACCTGAGTTAGCCATATGTAAGGCAAGCTCCCTACGTGCTTTCCCGCCCCATAGAAAGCTTTGACTTAACAAAGTAAGTGGATCTTTTGGAGTTGGAGGCCCATCCTTTGCTATATGCTGCTTTGTTATTTGTGATGAAAGTATTGTCTAGTAGCTGAATATTAAAGACACTTTCATAATGCATGCCTATGTTTTAAAGTGCCAGGGATAGAACCCAGGGCCTACACATGCACAGAGCTATACTGCTGAACCACATACCTATTCAATAAAAAAATATGCTTGTTGATACTGAAACACCACTTGCCTTCTTTTTTCCTGAGAATTGAACCAGCTCCGTATCTTTGGAATAGTAAGTTTGACAAATAATATATATTTCCTTTGTGAAAAATTTCTACAAAGGACTTATATTTTAAGGCCAGAGAGATATTAGAGAGGGTAAGGCCCTGTGCATGCCTGGCCCTAGTTTGATCCCTGGTGCCACATCTCATCCCCCAAGCACTGCCAGGGGTGATCCTTGATCACATCTGGTGTGGCAAAAAATGAAAAGAATGAAGGAATAAGCAGTAAAGTTTTCTTAAAATGAATACATGTATACTTGTATCTTGATTTCAACTCTCATGATCTAATAACACAAACTCTCTTTCTTGAAAGCAATAAGAAAATGTTTATTTGGTAATGACAAAATTAAAAGAATATTTATAAATAACTACATATCTATTAAAATCAATACAAACTGTATATCATTATTAAGGATGAATAAGATCTTGAACAAGTGTAAAGTCATACAGAAATCCAGGTATGAAAGAAAAAGGCAGTCTAGACACTTGGTTGCTGACCTGACCATCTTATTCCTGTCAAAGACACAAAATTTCATAAAACAAACCAGATGAGGGGCTAGAGTGATAGGTAGGGCATTTGCCTTGCATGCGGCCGACCCAGGTTCTATTCCCAGCATCCCATATGCTCCCCTGAGCACCGCCAGGGGTGATTCCTGAGTGCAGAGCCAGGAGTAACCCCTGTGCATCGCTGGATGTGACCCAAAAAGCGAAAAAAAAAACTGATGAGGCTCCTCTGTTGCCATAAGAAATAAACTTTAGAATGAGAATACTACCAAATCATATCTGAATATAAACAAAACGTGGTTATACAGTTACTAACATTAACACAAACTCTCTTTTCAGGAGAAACCATGGAGGTGACCGTCTGCAGGCTCTCCGAGTCATGCTCCAGATTCTGGAGTACTGTGAACATCCTTCCCCAGACTTGTTCTGCCTGTGTGGGAGGATCTACAGAGACATCTTCTTGGAATCAGAATATAAAGATTGTGAAAGCCGAGATAGCGCTATTGTATGGTAAATCCTTACTTAGCCTTAGTCAGTAGCAGTACATCTCTGCAAAGACAGAATTACAGAATGTGACCAGAAGAAAACCTCCTTTCTGAGGATTTCCAGTTGTAAAAAGGAATCAAAGGAAATCTATATATTGAGAAACCACATTTATGACATTTTTTTATTGCTGGAAATGGGCAGATACATGAGGGAAATACACTCTTCCCATAAGTTCACTCACTTACAGGATTCAGCAGGCTTCTTCCCAAATCTGGAACCTTTTTAAAATCCACATTGAGGCATTTTTTTTCTCAGTAAGCTATTTTTTCAATAGATGCTTAAAGATTTACTTGGAAAATAACTTCTCCAGTCAGTTTTTATGAGAAGTTGGTTTCATTATTTTTACCTTTTCTTTCTCTTCTCTTATAATCTGATATAATAAGAGTTTGTTGATTCTGTAATTACAGGTATCGTCAAGGTTTCGAGTTAGAGCCAAGTCTTTACTCAGGAACCAATCTTGCGGTTTTACTGATAATTTCTGGGCAGCACTTTGAAAGTTCCGTGGAACTAAGGAAAATAGGTAAAGCTATTTATTATTGCTAGTGTTGGTATTTTAGAAACATAAGCTTAACAATGAAAATTATAAGAAAAATTTAAAAATTAAAATAAATAAATTATAAGAACCCAGTGCCACATTGTTCTCCAAGCATCACTGGATGCCACCCCCAAGCAATACTGCATATGCCCCAGAAAAGAAATATTCCAAGAGCTGGAGTATAGTGCATGTTTCACATGGGTGTTGCCCTTCATTCCATGCCTGGAACCAAAATAAATTTTAAAAATTATCTTCGAATCACATTGAATTTCAGAAGAAACAGTTCCTTTCTGATAACAGGACTGATAACATTTGTTAAAACAAAATGCCCACTTTTCTCTCTCTTGAAAAGTCTACCAAGTCTGTTAGAAATGGCAAAGATTTTTTTATAACTTTATCTAAAATTCACATTCTTAAGGTGTCCACTTGAACAGTTTGTTGGGAAAACAAGGGAACTTGGATAAGATGAACAATTACTGGGATGTAGGTCAATTCTTCAAAGTCACCATATTGATCAGTGATGTCGGGAAGGCCGTAAAGGCAGCAGAAAGGTTGTTCACATTACAGCCTCCAGTCCGGTAAGTCATCTGTCCATTATCAGTACCCATCTCTTATCTGATACTGTTCCAAAATGTTGTCCCTGAGGAGAGAAGATATGAATCCATACAACTGTACCTATTGTCAGGCTTCTCCTGGCATTTGTTAAAACAAGGTTAGGGCAGAAAGAATAGTTTGCAAGCTGATTTGGTTTTATGTGAAGGCAAGGGTAGACACACACTCCTTGAGAATTTATCCCACCATTCAATATCACCAAGACTAGATTCTCACTTCTTTTTATTATGTATGTATTGTACTTTTGTGGAAAACAGTAGTAAAGCAGTAGTAAAGTAATAAAGCACACCTGGAAAATGATAATCTTAATAAATGGAAAATGTAACTACTAGAACTAAAAGATCAGTTGTAGATGGGGTAAAAAAAATGGTAACATAGCAGTGACCATCAGGTTGCCTATTAGATATCCTTTGAAAATATGTGAGAAAAAATGCTTAAAACATTGAAATGTATGTTGGGATTATCATAAATATGAAAAGCTGGTTGTAGCATATGTCTTTCTCTGTAGCTGTGGTTATGAAACTTTAGCCTATATCACAGTCAATTAAACATAGATTACTGTCAGCCTACCTCAGATTTCTGAACCAGATGGAGCATAAGAATTCACATTTACAAATGGCAGGATGATGCTCTCAGTTTGAGGACTGCACTTTAATAATGGATGTTTTCTATTGACTCTTTTAAATTCAAAGTGAGTTTACTACATGACTCAGATAAAGGCCTTGGAAAGGTGGGGTAATGTCTGACCTCCCTGAGAGATGTTAAGCTTCATTAGACTTGTGATTATCTTATTGATTGCTATGATAGCACAGTGGTAGGGCGTTCACCTTACAAGCGGCCAACGTGGCCGACCCGAGTTCGATTCCTCCGCCCCTCTCGGAGAGCCCGGCAAGCTACCGAGAGTATTCGATATGCCAGACACAGTAACAACAAAGTCTCCAATGGAGACGTTACTGGGCCCGCTCGAGCAAATCGACGATCAACGGGAGGGCCTTTACCTTACCTTTAATGTCTTAATATATACTCAAAAACATTTGTGTAATGGAAATAGAATTGATGAATTTTTTGAAAAATAATGACTAATTATCTCAAGGATGAATTATTGTTAGAAGTTTCAGTCTAACTTTTTTCTAATCCCTGTTTTCTAATATTTTGAATATATATTTGGATTGGGCTGGAGCGATAGCACAGCGGGTAGGGCGTCTGCCTTACAAGCGGCCAACATGGCCGACCCGAGTTTGATTCCTCCGCCCCCCTCGGAGAGCCCGGCAAGCTACTGAGAGTATTCGATATGCCAGACACAGTAACAACAAAGTCTCCAATGGAGACGTTACTGGGCCCGCTCGAGCAAATCGATGATCAACGGGAGGGCCTTTACTTTACTTTTATATTTGGATTCCCCGCTCGGAGAGCCCGGCAAGCTACCGAGAGTATCTCGCCCGCACGGCAGAGCCCGGCAAGCTCCCCGTGACGTATTCAATATGCCAAACACAGTAACAACAAAGTCTTCAATGGAGACGTTACTGGACCTGCTCGAGCAAATCGATGAACAATGGGAGGACAGTGACAGTGATATTTGGATTGCTTATGTAATTAAAATTTCCAACTTTTGAAGCTGGAGAGATAGTGCAGTGGGTAAGGTGCATGCAAGCACCAGGATTCTTTTTCCCGTAATTTTTTTTTTAATTTTTATTAGTGAGACACCATGACAAGCACCAGGATTTGATCCCCAGCAGCACATGTGGTTTCCTGAGCAATCCCCAGCATCATATGTGGTTTCCTGATCATGGAAACCACAGTCCATGGCAGTCTCTGAGCGCAGAGACAGGAATGAGCGCTGAGAACAGCCCTTCCCACACACCAAAATTATTTTTCATTTTTAACAATTCTGTTTCCCCTTCCTCATTCAGAGAACCAGATTGAACTTCAAGGATAGAAATCTCTTTTGTCATATCTTGAACCCATTTCTTCCCAGTCTAAAGGCCTTAATTGGGTACCCAGGCCAAACCTCTTTAAGGTAGAAAGAACAGAGCCATGTTGATACTACAGCCTTTTAAATGGCCTTCCCTTGAGTCCTGATTTTAAGATGCATTGCTGCCTCTGGATCAGCCAGAGATGAGTCCATGGAGAAGGGAGTGAAAGGTCAGTTACATTCTCATTACATCCTCACATGGACTAATTTATAGGTCTTGTCCCTATTCTTGAGGAACCAGTACCAACTTCAGGTCCATGACTTGCTAGAGAGCCTGTAATAACACATTGTTGGAGTTTAGAGTTTATTTTCATAAAAGCATATAGATTAAACTCAACAAAGGCAAAAGTCAGGTAGGGCAAAGTCCAGGGGAAGTCATGTTGAAAACTCACTCCTCTTGTCCTCTCCAAGTGCATTCATATTGACAGTACTTAATGATCCCAGCAACAGTGTGTTCTAACTTACACAGAATATTGCCAACAAAGGGAGCTCATGAAGCTTTGGAGTTCAGGGAACTTTAAGGAGTCAGTTCTAGACAGGATATACTTAGAGGTAAGCTTCCAGAAACCAGTCAAGGACCAGATCTTTCTTTGTAATGTGCAGTTTGAACAACATAGGCCACTGAGTTAATCCTTTACCATGTTGTACCCAAGTCAGTCAGATGATATATAGCTTACGTGTTTTATCTTCAAAAAGTAGTTCCAGACTTTATCCTGAAAAGGCAAAGTAGTACTTTGATGCTCTCCGCTGAAGAATCCTTTTCATTATGAAAGAGTTGAATCCCCACTGCTTGGCAAATATGATTCAAAAGTTTTATTTTATTGACAGATGATAATGATACTAAAGATGATTCTGGCACTGAAAAAAATTCAGTATACAATATGAATTTAAGGCTTTGGGAAAATTTACATTTGAGAGGGAATAGATTGAATTTTGTTTCTCTAAATACCTAATTCATTGGTGCTTGTGATTTTTTTTTCAGCTACATGAAAACATTATTTCAGAGCTTGTTACTAATTCGCCACTTTAGAAAAACTGTGAATGAATATTCACCAAAGCAAGAGCAGCTTAATTTCTGGTTAGATATCCTTTTTGAATCAGTAAACACAGTCCCCAATGGACTCAGATTTCCGGTAAGATATGGTCAGCCTATTTCTTTGAGATAAGAAAGAGGTATTCAAACTATCAAGTTATTGAATATTCTGAAATGAAGAAAACTGTTAAGATAACTGGATATGTTGTTACCTTAAAGTTTTCCATTAGTGCTGTACAGAATTAACCAGTGACAGATCAGCTCCCTAGAAAAAATTAAGTGTTCTTTAAAAAAAGTACTCAATGGAAATGTCCCAGAGGACATTTGGCACTGTCTAGAGACATTTTGGTTTCACAGTTGTGAAGCAGGTGTTGTTACTTGTTGCTAGTAGGGTTCAAGATGGCTTCAGACTTTTCACCGTGTGCAGGACAAGACTACATAAACAGAATTATCCAGCCCCAGATGTCAGTAGTGTGGAGAAATCATGCTTGCAGACGATGCAGTGTTACTAGTAAAAACTTAGATTTCAAAATTATTTCCTATTGAGCTTTGATTTGCTTCCAGTGCCACTATTTAAAATTATTTAAAAGCAAAACTGCATTTAGCTTTCCACTGAAATTTTGTTTCAATTTTATAACCATCTTAGAAGATATTCTAAGATTGCCAAGCATCCAGGAAGGCTGAACTTTAGGAAATTGTGTTTCATACTTAATGCTATGAGTTGCGGCAGTTTCATTAAATACCTAATAACAAGATTAAACCGTTTGAATGAAATTTTTATAATCATCATTTTGTTTCTGGGGGTAAGTTTTAAAATTGCATTTTAATTACGAAAAAATTCAAACCTCCCAAAAGCTACAAAAGAATAATGGAACAGACATTCATGTATTCTCTTCAGTTTCACCATATATGTTGCTTGATTTGCTTTGGAAATTTATTCTGTCTCCCCCTGCCAACTTCTTCCCTTCCCTTCTACTTTCCCCCAACAAAATGAAACATTACTGACAGATTGTCATCATGCTTTCTATTCCTCTATGTTTTATTTATTTATTTTTTATTTTATTGAATCACCGTGAGAGAGTTACAGGCTTTCATTTTGGGGTTACAATCACACAATGATCAAACACCCATCCCTCCACCAGTGTGCATTCCCCATCACCAACCTCCCCCAGTATACCCCCCTTCCCCTCCCTCCCCCTGCATCCATGGCAGACAATATTCCCCATACTCTCTCTATGTTTTATTTTTAAAGACTTGGTACTTACTTGGAGATTATCCATTTTCTTCCTCATTTCTCTCAAAACCTGTAACTTCCCTTCTCTATGTCACCTGTCTCCTAAGGCATTGCTTTCTCTGTTATCTTATTCAAAGAACTTTCCGCCCCCATTTCATTGATGGGATTGTGTTGGCACATAGTGGGTATGTAAGCATTTGTGGAACATCAAATTTGCTGCTTCCTCTCTGAGAAGGGCACCCCATGTCTTCCAGTGTACTATAGAAAATTGTTCTTCTTCTAGGTTCTAGTGATAGAACATACCAAAGTGTACCAGCCTTCTTATGTCTCTATCAACCATGAAGCTGAGGAGAAGACTATTACTCTGTGGCACGTATTGCCCAAGGAAATGGTAAGAAGGAAATCACAAACATCTTTCTTTTCTTTGTTCTGTATTATTTAATCAATAGTTCAATTTTCAAATAGGAGAGTCATACATTTGAAAGAATAGACACCTCGTGGTTAACTTCTGAAATGTAGGAAAGTCTGAGAGTATAACAGATGAAAGAAAGAAAAAGGTTTACTCCCTTGTGTGTACTGTGCATGTGTGTTTGTGTGTGTGTGTGTGTGTGTATATATATATATATATATATATATATATATATAGTGTGCTTTTGCATGCAGCCGACCCGGGTTTGATTCCCAGCATCCCATATGGTCCCCTGAGCACCACCAGGAGTAACTCTTGAGTGCAGAGCCAGGAGTGACGCCTGTGCATCGCCGGGTGTGACCCAAGAAAAAGCAAAAAAATAAAATTTAACTCATTTCAAATTGAGATTATTTACTGTAAACTGGATTAGATACAAATGAAGTTTTATTATATTTTTGAAAATGTTTCTGGTGTTATGCAGCATATAATGTTTCTGCCTATGCTATTTTAATTTTTTATCTATAAAATTTTAATACTTCACTCCAATGAGATTAAAATAGCAGTTATTACTGACAATAAAATAAGCAAAATATTGTTTTCTGTCATGTAAAAAAATCAAATTACTACTTCTTTTATATCTCCAGAAACAAATCTATGAATGGAATTTCACAGCTTCTTCAATTAGAGGAGTAAGGTAAGAGCAGAAGAGAAAATATCATTGCTGTTTTAATGCAAATGATAATGTTTTATGCACTTTAGTGTTTCCACTTTTTATTTTCATTCTGAAGTCTTTTTATTTTTTATTGCTCGTTTGTTTTGGGGATTTTCTTGGCCATTAGGATTACACTAGGTGGTGCTTGTGAGCCAATGCAGTGCTAGATATTGAACCGTGCTTATCGTTTGAAAGAGATATTTTTGTTGTTTCCACTTTGGGGCCATTATAAATAATGCTGCCATGAAATTTTGCTATAATCTCTTAATATGGATTGATGTTTATTTCTCTGAGGCCTATTATGGGGTATTATATCATTTCAACCAATTACATGAATGTGCAAAGGATTTGAAGTCATTTAGGCCCTAGGGTCAGTGTGACACATAGAACATATGTGTTAAGCAACAAACTGTTGTCATTTCTTTACAGATAGATTTTCAAAATATCCTCACTAGCTCCTAGTTTGAATTCTTTTTGGATCACCCTGAAACAGCAGAAGCTATTACTGTTTTGATTGTGTTTCTCATGTAACACCTAACACGTGAATATTGGTTAAAGAAATTGCAACTCCCACGAAAAATGTGACTTACAAAAGGCAAGATAGAGTGGTTTCATTTGTGTAAAGAATTAATTATATGAAAGACTCTCCTTTTCCGTGGTGCCATCTAACAAAATGAGAACCATCAGCCCATTGTAGGTAAAGAACTTTCTAGCAGTAGGCTACCAGCAGGTGGAGTATGGTGATTTTCTGTCACTGTTTATGTCCATGCTGGAAAAATATATCCTGTTTGAGGAGAGCAGTAGACTCAGATCTTGACTTTGAGTGGGGATGAACCAGATAACATTTAAATGCCACATCTATTTCTGTTTCCCTTATGTGAGCACGGCAAAGCCTGGCAAGCTACCGTGACGTATTCAATAGGCCAAACACAGTAACGGTAAGTCTCACGATAGAGACGTTACTGGACCCGCTCGAGCAAATCGATAAATAACGGGAGGACCAGGACCATGACTAATATGTGAACACAAATACTGTGTCCTGATACTTTTCAAGTCTTGAAATTCCTTTGATATCATAAAAAATTACTTCACAAATAACTTCCCAGGTTTTTTTTTTTGTTGTTAAACCGTAAACTCCAGGGCCACAGATCACACTTTGTTGACTTTTCTCCTTCCCATATTTATCACTGAGCACTGAGTATAAATTCCTGACAACAGTTAAAAATCTGTTGATGAGGACAAATTCAAACCTAAGTCAGATAAGTGTCCCTGCTATTTCAATTTCTTAGGGAAAATGGAAGTAACATTTGGGAGGTATTTGTTAAAACATTAGTCTTTTAAGCTTGTAAGATATTAACATTTTTCTCAAAAGTTTGAAGTGTATAGTAAGACATATAAATATACATTTTATGTTTTGAAATTTTATAGCATATTCAAGTCTGATGAGCGGTGTTGTTTTCTTTACATCAATGATAATGTTGATGACTTTCAAATCTGCTTTTCCACCAAGGAGCAGTGTAAGAGGTGAGTTACAACTGATCCAGGATTTTAAATCTAATTATGGTGAGGCATATTTAAAGGGTTTTTCTTGTGAAAAATACTTATTTGCTCTCCTAAGTTTCCCGAAAATTTAACTCATGGAAAATTATTTTATAGCTTTGAAATAAAAATTAATGTACTGTGCACTTTGCCCATTTAAAGTGCATAAATAAAAATTTTATGTTTACAGTTTTGTAACTATCACTAAAATTTAATTTTAGAATATTTTCATTAGCCCCCCCCCAGTTATCCTCCTTTGGGGAAGGGGCAAACCTGGCAGTGCTCAGGAGTTACTCCTGGCTCTGTATTCAGGAATTACTCCTGGCAATGTTCAGGAAGCCATGTGGGATGCCAGGGATTGAACCCAGGTCAGCCGTGTGCAAGGCAAGCACCTTACCCTTTGTACTATCTCTCCAGACCCCCTGTTGTTTTATTGTACCTTTTAGCTTTAACAGTGTCTCCTGTGTCTGGAGCCAGGAGGAAAAGTAGTACTCAGTAAACGGTCAGTGTACTGTCTTATTTAGGGCTGTCAAGGCTAGCTTGCAACCTGGACAAGCAACAATTTCTGTCTGTCTTATTCTTTGTGACTGACCCTGCTGGACAGGGGTCAGAGGGGCCAGTTTGATTCACTTTTTGTGATAAAACCATACAATAATTTATTTTGAATTCATCTTTGCATTTTATATGAGGTAGATGAACAACGGGAGGACAGTGACAGAGATCTGGATTTATGAGGACTGGTTTATATTAAGCTGAACTGTAGCACTGTAGCACTATCCTCCTGTTGTTCATCGATTTGCTCGAGCGGGCACCAGTAATGTCTCACAACAAATCGTGAGACTTGTTGTTACTGTGTTTGGCATATTGAATATGTCACAAGTAGCTTGCCAGGCTTTGCCGTGTGGGCGAGATATTCTCGGTAGCTTGCCGGGCTCTCCAAGAGTGGCGGAGGAGCTGAACTGTATCAGCATAATTATGTGATAGTTATTTTATTTTTATATTTTGGGGGGTCACACCCAGAAATGCTCAGGGGTTCCTCCTGACTCTGCACTCAGGAATTACTTCTGGCAGTGCTGGGGGACCATATTGGATGCTGGGGGTCAAATCCAGGTTGGCTGCATGCAAAGCAAATGCCCTACCTGCTGTGCTTTTGCTCCGGCCCTAATGCAGTTATTTTAATCTAAATACATCATTCTCTTCTCATCCTTTCCCTTATACAAGACTTATTTCTCACTAATAACTAGAATGTTTACCACTTGAAAGGTGATATTCCCACAATCCTGAACACCAGTTAGATTACCCTAGGAATTGTTGAGTCTCTGGACCAGATTTTAGAATCATAACATAGGGACAAATTTGAAGAATTTCCTGCTAGTGGAATGACTCACAAACAGTTCCCAGGGAAACAGTGCTGGAACAAGCCTTATAAGGACATAATAGATATATGTACATTTCTAATAGGCTGCCATACACAAAACTTTTTTATTCTATTTTTAGTTTGTTCTTTGGGGCTATACTCAGCAATGCTCAGGGTTTACTTCTGGCTCTGTACTCAGGAACTATTCCTGGCAGGCTCAGCAAACCATATGGGTCTGGAGATTGAACCCAGGTCAGCCACATGCGAAGCAAGCCCTCTATCACTGTACTATCTCTCTGCCCCCCCCCCAAAAGTGATTAATTCTAAACAATACATGAATGTAGCCCACATAAAAGAACTATTTAGTTTATTATCAGTGAAGCATTTCCCATAGAGTTCTCCAAAGAATAAACTGCCTTGTGAGTTCTCTGTCATTGGACATGTTCAAAGCCTCAATTGCTTAATCACTGGGTGGAAATACTATATAGTAGGATTAATATGTTGTGTAAGTACTTAGATACTTTAAATAACTTTCAGAGCAGTGTTCTTCAGCCTTTTCCACCTGTGGATTGGCAGCTGTCCTGCAAACAATTTCACAGACTGGCAATTATAAATCAGATGTTATACTAGTGGTTATTAACCTTTCAGCACCAGTCTTGTGGCTGCTGGGTGGAGAATTCTGCTTTAGAGTACCATGTCAAATCAAGGAGTGAAGTTCCATGAACTTATAAGAGCTTGCTTTATATTTAATCACAGTCTGATGCATTAAGGTAAAGAAAAGAGGTGATCATAATTGGTGTCTGTGACATTTGCTGTTCTAGGTTTTGCTCTTTGGTCAGAGATATGACAGCAGCAGACAATATAGTAGAGCTGGAGGGAGACATTGATGAATCCATTGTAGAGGTAAGTCACAGAAAACCTGGAAAATGAAGAACGTTATTCATAATGTGTCTTAGATACATTAGAAGATATTTCTGGGGCTAGAGAATTAGTGTGACTGACCCAGATTCAATCCCTGGAACTGCATCTAGTGCCGCAAGCACTGCCAGGATTGACTCTGGAACACAGAGCCAGGAGTAGACCCTGAATACCAATGGTGTGGCCCAAATGCCCTCCCCAAAGATACCTTTTTATGTGACGGTTATTTATAGGCATATTTTAAAAACTCATTTATGAACTAGCACTATGATCCATAACTTTCAGAAATCAAGCTTAATGAATTTATGTAGGAAAATATCATTACTCTAGAATGTTTTAAAAAATGATGGCACAGACTACACTGAATTTCCTTTTGTGTGGAACTTATGAGAAGGGTTTTTTCTAAACTAATTTTCTAAACTAATTAATGTTTATGAAACTAAGAGAAATAACTTACTGGAGCAAACTTTTTTTCTTTTCATGCTATAGGGGATAGACTTCAGGTCTTCAGGCATATGTGCTCTACCACTGATCCATATTCCCCCAGCTCGTTTAGACAACACTTGGAGTACACAGTAACTGCATATGCTTGACTAGGGAGTAATACACTGCAGATTTGTTTAAATCTTGTATAGATCTTCAGGTTTGAGTCCTCCCAAAAATTACAGTTTAATGAGATTTGACTTAAATCCCTTAAGGTTTCTTTAAGAAAATAGCAAAGGGAGGCCTTTTTTTTTGGTTGTTTGGTTTTTGGAAGCAACATCTAACAGTGATAAGGGGTTACTCCTGACTCTGTACTCAGAAATCACTCCTGGCAGTGCTCAGGGGACCATATGGGATACCAGGGATCAAACCTGGATTCAAATAAGGCAGCATGTAAGGCAAACACCCTACCACTGGACCATTGCTCTGGCCCTGCAAAGGGGTTCATTTTAGTAATGGATTTGGGACTCAGACTCTTAGCTCAGATCTAAAATTTCCTATGAAAATGAACTGAGGGACACATTTTAGAGCTAAGAAATGGGAGCACAGCGAAAGGTGTGATGTAAAAAAAAACCTTTTGTGCCTTGCAAGCTTGAGGCCACAAGTTTGATCTTTATACATGTCAAATACACTCCCAGTGGCTCTGATGTTTGGGATTCCTGGTGGCACAACAAAGTATGTGACATCCAGCAAGTTAGGCTACCAAGTATGGAATCCATTCCCAGTACCCATTCCCCTGCTATTACAGAAAATAACAAAGATAAGGGAGGGAGGAATAAGCAAGGTACATCAGATCTTCATTTAACACTGTCATCAAGAAATTGCAACTTTAAAGAACTGAACACCTCAAGACAAACTTTATTCTTAATTGGTATCAACATGAATTAACTTCTTTCAGCATATTTCCTGTTCATGAAAACATCACTTGTATATACAGGGGCCAGAAAAATATACAGTGGGTAGGGTGCTTGCTTTGTACGGAACCAATCCAGGCTCAATCCCCAGTACCCCATACCTGAGCCCTGCCAGGAGTAATCCCTGAGTGGAGAGCCAGGAGTAAGCCCTGAACACAAATAAAACTTGTGGCCCCCAAACAAAACTTGTATATACAGATCCAAATACCTCTATTTTTCAATGATCATGTGTCTTATTTGTTTCCCAACCCTCTTATTCCAGTTCAGAGTCAAGGGTGACCAGTGTTTCTTGGCACTGCTTGGGATCCCAACTCTAGACAGAAAACCCTTCCATCTCAGGATACACAAACACTTAGAACACCAAGATATGCCCTCTGAACCTCCTGTGCACATCATCAGGCTGTGGGAGGACATCATAGCACCCCAAGAAAGACATGCAATCCTGAAAATATGTGCACCACATAGACAGTGGCCTCAGTTTGAAGCCAGTAGTTTTTTCATCAATATGAAAATACTTCCTTTTCTAAGGACCTGCTGTCATTATTTCATGAAATACACATAGCTTAAATAGCATGACCCACATAGTCCTCAAACTATATTTTGATAATTTTTAAAAATATTTGAACAGTTTGGGGCCATTTAAGGGGCTCTTCCAGCATGAGATGTATGCTTCTTAAATTGTTACTCTTCTCTCTTCAGTATGAATATGAACTTGATGCCAGTGGCCAACGGATTGTGCTGGGAAAAGGAACCTATGGGATTGTGTACGCTGGAAGAGATCTGTCTAAGCAAGTGCTAATCGCCATCAAAGAAATCCCAGAAAAAAATAGCAGGTAAGTAGGACACACCTCCCAGAGGTTTCAGTCACCACTCTCAGCTCCCCTAATCTGTGCCCACCACTGACAGTTACAGGGGGTATAAAACATGAAATTCAGAATATCCAGATTTTGTCTGCTACTGAGGATGATTGACTTTTATTCTCTGCATGTTAGAAATAGATTGAGAAAACATAAAATCTTCACTTAGAGGTATGTGGCTTGTGGAAAGTTACCTTTGTCTCTTTCTTTGAAGCGGGGCTCAAGCATTGCTCAGGGGTGATACTCAACCAGACCAGGTGGTTCAATGCTAAGATCTTGTGATGTGACACTGCTTGACCCAGAGGGCTTGCAGGCTGTCCAGGCTATGCCCAGTGGCAGTTGAGGGACTATGTGATGTCAGTTTTGAACTTGGGTCCTTGCACATACAAGGCATATACCCCTGATGCTAGAGAAATCAGATTTTGGAGAGAAAATTCGGTTTGTGTCTGTTTATTTTGGGCCTACACCTGGAAGTTCTCAGGGTTTCTTCCTGGCTCTGCACTTAGTAATAATTTCTGTTGGGGCTCTTGGGACCATGTGGGGTACCGGGGGTTTAAATCATGTTGGCCATGTGTAAAACAAGCACCCTACTAGTTGCACTGTCACTCTGGCCCCTGAGAAAACTTCATTTTTATTTCTACTCATCAGCTAGGTATAAAGTTGTATGTGTTTGTCAGTTAGATGTTTGTGTGTATATTGGCTTTTTGGGCCACACTCAGGGCTTATTTTTGGGTTTTGTTGTTGCTGCTGTTTTGAGGCCACACCCAGCAGTGCTCAGGGGTTACTCCTGGCTCTGCACTCCTGGTGGTTCTCAGGGGACCATAATGGGGTGCCACGGATTGAACTTGGGTTGGCTGCTTGCAAGGCAAACGTCTTATTCACTGTATTATCGCTCCAGCGCCAGGGCTTATGTCTAAGTCTGCACTTGGGGGTCACTCCTGTCAGTGCTCAGGAGACCATGTGTAGTGCCAGGGATTGAACCCGGGTTGGCTGCTTGCAAGGCAAGTGCCCTACCTGCTGTACTATCTACTCTGGCCTGAAAATTTATCTTTTTGTAATACAGACTTTTATGCAATGTCCTTCGACCTTACTTGAGAGTTTGGAGGCTGTTTTTCTTTTATTCTTCACCCCTTCTTATTTCCCTCCCTTCCTCTCTTCCTTTTAGGACCACCACTACTAATTTATTTCTTCAATAATTTTAGGGTCTAATTAAATATTTATTCCTTTTTCAACGTACACCCCACCTAATTCCAAATGAGAGAATGGAAGATACAAGCATTCTCTGCATCTTGTAGAGAAGTTACAGATCTTAACTCTGCCCTGCAGACATGTTCAGACCACGTGTACTGCCTTCAGTGTAACCCCATAACCCCATGGCTGTGCGCCTTGCTCTTCTGCCTGGTGGACAGTAACTTATTCATCATGGGTTTCCAGTGATTTCAACCAGATTTTATCACTTAATTTATTCATTTTGACTTTATTGAAGAGATGGCCTCCCCAGAAATTTTGGGAGTCCAGGATTCATTTCTGGCCAGGGTTTAGCTGTATGAATGAGCGTGATCCTTTGGTGCTGCTAAGACCATCAGGGACATACCTGATGGTACTTGGAGTGGTCAGTGGTCTCTGGGAGCCACAGGGGGACAGAGATTAAATTTGGGTCTTCTTTGTGCAAGGTTCCATCCTTTGAGTCCTCTCCTTTTCCGCTGTTTAATCGGGAGGGTTGGTAGGCCCTCATTGGTACTCAGTGGTCTCTCCTCGTGGTGCTCCAGGGTGAGTGCAGTGTCAGATACCAGACTCAAGCCTCTTGCAAGCAAAGCTTGTGCTCCAGACTATTGAGCTATCCCAGTCCCCGTCCTGATAATTCATTTTTAATGTGATGAAGTATTGACATATAAGAATGATAAGATCCAAAATGAACTGGGTTTGTTCAACCAATAATAAAACCAAAACTGAGGAAAATGGGGGCTGGAGCAATAGCACAGCAGATAGGGCATTTGCCTTGCATGTGGATGACCCGGGTTCGATTCCCAGCTTCCCATATGGTCTCCTGAGCACTACCAGGGGTAATTCCTGAGTACAGAGCCAGGAGTGACCCATGTGCATCACCAGATGTGACCCAAAAAAGCAAAAAAAATAGAGACTAAGGAAAATGAATTGAGTTCTCTTGAAGAAGCCAGCCTAGGATCACTGTCTCATGATTACTTATTTAGCATTTTCTTTTATTCTTAGGGTGGAGAAAGGGGTGTGCATATTGAGAGTGTATATTGAGGGGAAAAACTGGCAAGTACCACATCCTTAAGTTGGTTGCAATTTTTGTTTTAGCTCTTCATTACTGATAGATGTTCCTAGGTTCTTCTCTAAACTTACAGAATGATTGTAGAATATTATGCTTTTTCTCTGTGCCACATATGGACTGGCACTGGGGAACAAAGGATAGCTATGGCACTCTCCTTAACCCAGATATAGAATGCAGAAACCTTTCCAGGGAATCAAAGTGACAGGTGCAGAGTGTCTTTTAAGCATAAGGGAGGAACGAATTCTTTTCCCTGGTGGAGTGTGGCAAATTTGAGGATTAAATAATCTTTGAGCTGTTGTTTGAGGGTTGCATAGGAGTTTGACAGAAAAGGAGACCATAGCCTTTGGTGCTGAGGGAAGACCTGAGTTACTGAACCATAGAATATGTTCAGAGAATAACAGATTGTCTGTTGTGCTCTGAATGTAGGAGTTAGGACCGTAAGGGACTCTTGAGATGAGGTAAGAAGTTTGAAAGGTGTATTCTGACCTGAGCTGGAAAGAACCTGTGTACCACATTAAGCCATGTGGTCTTTCTGTGGATTTCATGAAGGTGTTATGAAGTGTGTGTTTAAGAAGGGGGAATAGGATTAAAGAGGCCCCAAGCCCTGGTTTGAAGTTCATTCAGTAGCAGTTATTAGAGTTTTCAGTGCGTGACTGGAAAGCGACTGAGGACTGAACCTTCTAGAACAGTACCCATCATGGGAAGCATAAGAAAAGTGGCTTTTGAGAGACACAGAGGCTAATCAGAGAGTTCAGGCCCTATTTCTAGCATTGAAACAGTAGTACTCCTTCATATACACAGTGCTTGAGAAACCTGGCATACTTGGATTTTTAGCAGCCCTGCATGACAGGGAATATTAGCTCCCATATACAGATGGCAAGCTGCAGAGTTTGCCATCAGAGTTTGCCAAGGGAGAGAAGTTTCCAGAAAGAAGAGACACCAGCCACAGGGAAGGTGAGTGATGTCTTGGCTCTCAGGCTCTGGGGACCTGGTGACCCTAGCTGTGCTTTTCCCACCAGGCTCTTTCCGTCACTACATGTTGAGTTAGCACTGCACAAGCACCTAAGACACTGCAATATTGTTCAATACCTGGGCTCTGTGTCTGAGGATGGCTGCATTAAGATCTTCATGGAGCAGGTGCCTGGAGGTGAGTAGTCACTGGTCTGATGCCACACTCTGAAAATCACTAAGGTGGATAATGTAAGAACTTGATTCCATATCTCAGCCATTTAAAAGCTGCTGGACCCTCTAAATGCGTGTATGCATTGGGGAGTATTAAAGGGTTTGGCTATAGACTTTCAATATCTCAGAAATGGCCCATTTATTATTTGTTCCTACATCTGTCAGATAGTCATTGTGGGTCTTTTGGGTGCCTGCCATTGAACTGAGCTGGGGACAAAGAGAAGCAGTAAGCAGTGTCTCCCTCCTTGAAGTACAATCTAGAAGTCTAAAGATGATTTTGGGAAGAGGGGACAGAACCTTTTAAAATGACATTGCAAAGTAACATTGACAATGAAACCAAACACCAGTGTTTTGTCAACAAACCCTTAAGTACAGGTGACACAGTATAGACTAAGAGTTCCTCTGATCGGTACCAAACTTTCTACTTCCAATCCTACGCAGGTGAAGAGCCTGTATGACCTTGGGCAAATTACTTGCCTCTCTGTGACTTTGGTTTTCTAACTGAATAAATTAATTTTAAATTGAAGTTGCAATTGGGTGATAATGTCCCATCTCGATGACTGGTTGGATAGATTAAATAAAATATGTCGAGCTCTCAAAATGGCAGTGAACCTTTAGTGTTTATTAATATAGTGAAATAAAGTATTATTACCTGAGAACAAATATAAAAACATCAGGTAGAAATATTTTATACAAACAGTCAACCAATAGTTACTAAGAATCTACTGTGATATTAAGAGCCTAACTACACATATTAAGAGTTAGGCTGTGGGCTAGATTAAGGGTATTGAAGAATAAATAAAGTATAGTTGCTTCTTCCCTGAACTTACACAGAATCTAGCAGAAAATATGTCAATTTCTATAGACAGCCTATTTCTGCCTGTCATACTACAAACCTCTGAAACAGATAGTTCAAATGCAGTGGTGGAGGTTTTGTGGTTCAGTGTTTAATAGTATGAATGGGAAAGTGGGGGCCATTAACAAAGACAGTCCTATTCCTGTAACCTGTCTGTGGGGTCTTCTTTCAACGAGAACAGAGAGATGCAGTCCCCTCCAGTCCTCTTATGTGGCTCCATTAACCTCTGGTTTTAGGGTAGGAGTGGGGAACGTCTGACCTGTGGACTGTTTTAAGGCCCATGAAATTCTGTGGTCTGGGCTTGGTTCATAATGGGATAGACTCATGTACTTTTAATCAGCTCCCCATGACCTGTCTTCCTTAATTGTATGGCCCATGATTGATGTTATAGATATTTAAGTGGCTCTTGGTAGAAACAGAGACTACCCACCTCCGTTTTAGGATAAGGTTGAGGCTGTGACTTTGACCAAACCAAATGGTTGAAACTTATATAAGTTCAGAGGGCCTGATGGTGCTCTCACTATTTGGTGAAGCTGGGCAAAGAATGTTGACCCAGTGAATGTCATGGTAGAGGAATGTATAGTCAGGCTGGCATGCTGATTGCTACCTGTCCCTGCACTGGCTATGCTTGCACATTTGGGATAAAGGGAAGAAAGACAGCTCATTTCATCCAGATGCTATGTAACCACCATGAGTGCTTTTGATAGTTTAGAAACATCTCCTCACTTATCTCTCTGAACTTTCTTGATTGAGCCTTCATCACTGTTTTTTTTTTCTCTCTTTCCAGGAAGCCTGTCTGCCCTTTTGCAAACAGTATGGGGTCCCATAAAGGAGCCCACCATCAAGTTTTATACCCGGCAGATCCTGGAAGGACTTAAGTATCTCCACGAAAACCAGATTGTGCACAGGGACATAAAGGTGCTTGTTTTCCTGAGCTGACAAAACTCTGTGTGAACAACTCATATTCTGAACTGCTGGTGATGTCTAGTCAACCCAGATTGACTGCCCAAGAGGGCAGTGATTGAGGGTGTCAGTACTTATAATGCAATCTAGTATTCTTAGGGACCTGTGACCATTTCTTCAGGCCAAAATGCATATAATGTCAACTTATTTATATGTCTTTAAGCCCTTGATTTTCTTCTTTTTCCTAAAGGGTGATAATATTCTGGTAAATATCTACAGTGGAGTAGTGAAAATATCTGATTTTGGAACCTCTAAGCGTCTTGCAGGAGTGACTGCATATTCAGGGACATTTGCTGGTAAGTGAAACACCTTGGCATGAGAGTGCGTTGTGGAGTTCCATTTTGTGTGCAGTCCTTGGAAGGTTATTTCTGGGCACTTTTGCAGCATAGACTGGGTGATTGATCAGTCAAGTGGGCTGTATGCTGTTCCCAGTTTGAAATTGTTTTAACTTTGTCAAAACGATACATTGTGCTAGCTATTTATGACAAGATTGCCTAATTTGTCTTTTAAAAGTTGGGGTTGTGGGTTGAAGAGATATAGAACAGTGGGACGGGCATTTGCCTTGCATGCAGATGTCCTGGGTTTGATCTCTGGCACCACATAATAGTCCCCTCAGCCCAATCAGGAGTGATCTGAGCACAAAGCCAGGAGTCAACCCCAAGCTCAGCTGGGAATGCCCCCTACCCGCAAAGACTCAAATAAATAAATTTGGGTTTGTATAGTGCTCTGCTTGAGGTTTTTGAGGTTCTAATCAACCATCAAAATGACGTTATTCCTTTCAAGTTAACAGCACATTGTTTAAAATTAATGGCAGTTGAGGGAACGGGGTCATTCTAAGTAATAGTATTGCTAAGACAACATATTAAGATATTTTTATTGATCTGTTATGAGAAATAACTAATTGCTTTAGTGAGTTCTGATGCCTTGTGCTTCAATAAGGTTAGGTTTCAAAGGGATGATAATTCATCCAGGGAATATGACATCCTGAGTGAGTTTGAGGGCCAGAGATATGGCTCAGGGTTAGAAAAATTTGTTCTTTGCATACAGGAGCCTTATGTCTATCCCATTACTTAGCGCCCCTCCAAAACTAGGTTTGAGGAATTAAATTTTTCCCCATCTGTCAGTACTGAAATGGTTTTAAAATTTTAGAGGGGATATGGAGAGAGAACACAGGGGGTAAGGTGCTTTTCTTATATGTCACTGACCTTGATTTGATCCCTGGCACCACATATGATTCCCTGAGCACTTCCAGGAGTGACCCCTGAGCACAGAGAAGGAGAAAGCCCTGAGCATTGCTGGGTATGCCCCTCGCCAAACCCAAAATTAGAGGGACTGGATTCAAAGAATTGAGAAGATTGTCAGGCACCTTTCCACATAAAATCATTTCAGTGAATAGAATGAAACTCAAAAGCTCTCCGTGGTTTTATGAATTTTCCTGCTTAAAAGAAAATATGGCAAAAATTGTGAATCTAAGAAAAAAAGTGTTTATTGAATAAATAAGTTTAGCATTCCCTGAAGTGTAGAAAATGATGAAAAGTACTTGCTTGATGCAGTTATGAAACCCTCAAATATAGCTCTGAAATATGTGATGGACAGATGACTGCTCTCCATCCCCAGGACACCAAATTGTGGACTGACAAGATTTGGCCTTTTTTTCAGTGAATAATGTCTTAGTGTTTCAACATTTAAGGATTTTTTTCTTCAACAAGAGAGCTTTGAATGCCAACTACTAGATGCCCACAGTAGAGACATAATTCTTTATGTGAAGGAAATATGTTTGCATCAAAATGGTATCTTTGTTGTAAATCAGAGGAAGAGAGATATCCACTTAAAATGGGAAAGTATCACACTAAAAACTGATCAGAATCTTCAAAAGGAGAATATATTGCATTTTCATGTATCCTGTATGATAAATACACATATCTAGCACATATATCAAGGTAGGAATATATGTGTATGCCTGAATGATTTACTTTTGGGAGGTTATGAGGTAGGGGCAGACCTGGAAATGGACTTATATCCTCCTCTTTGGAATTCCCCAGTTAGCTTAGTGATGTGTAGCAAGAAGGACTCTGATGTGACAAGGAATTATTTCCAGACATAAACCTCCTGACAATTTATTTCATAATTAGCATCCCCAGGAGGAAAAAATAACAAAGAGAAACATACATAATTCATTAATCATATATCACTATTTTCTAACTCATTGGATTTATGAATCATAAATTTTGCATTGTAAAATAATGCAGGGTGTTTGGGATATAATAAAGAAAGGGTCTCATTTGAGATAGGAAGTTCTGTAAAGAAATCTGAGCTGATGGTACTGGATTGTGGTTGGGTCTGGGTGGATGAAGTAGTTTCTTTTCTACCTAAGTGCTCCAGAGACTTTAAAAGCCTGGAAGGCAATTTTTCTCTCTGAAACCCTGGCCTGTTAGGTTTTTCATTACTGTAGCTGAAGTCACATAGAAGGAAAGTCCTTAAAGTAAGGGTCCCTTTGCCTCTGTGTTGAGGTATCATTCATATCATAGAATACACCAATTTTAATGTTTTCACCACTCTGAAACTGTTTCTGGGCTGCTTTTGATTAGTTCCCATACCCACTGCACCCCAGGCAGCTGCTATTAGTAGAAAGTTGCCTGCTCTGGAGATTTCACACAAACAAAATTATAGAGTGGGTTCTCTTTTGCAAGGTGCTGCCTTCACGAATTGTGAGGTAGTAAGTACCATACTTCATTCCTTGTCTGTCTCAGTGGTATTCTGGTGTTACGAGAGAATTCTGTTTGCCTATCTACCAGATAATGGTCCTTGCATTTGAAGTTGCCTCCACCTTTTTTCTTTTGTGAATAGCATGTGTTTTCTTCACTATCTAAAAGTAGACCCTTCCCACTTGGTGTGCCCGAACATTTTCCCAGGTGAGCATGCCGGACCTTACCAAATAGGTATGTCCTGCTTTCAGATAGCAGAGGTAACCTGTATCATTATGAGTATTCATGTACATGCTTTTCTCTAGATACATGTTTTTATTCCTCTTGAAAGGATATGCCAGTGTACAGGTTGTAGTTTGTGGTTGCCACCATCTTTCATTCAAATTTATGCTCAGTCAAAATATTAGCTGTGTGACCTTGGTTATATTACTTAACCTCTCTGTGCTTCAGTTCCTTCATAAGTCAAATGATGCTTATAATACCTACTTCATACAGATTTTTTTCTTTGTTTGTTTTGGGATCACACCCAAAGGTGCTCAGAGTTTACTCTGGGCTCTACTGTCAGGGATCACTCCTGGCAGGTTCGATGCACCATATGCTGGAGATCAAGCGTGGGTTGGCAGCACGCAAGGCAAGCACACTACCACTGTACCATTGCTCTAGCCTCTATATAGGGTTTTACAAAGATTAATGAGTTTATACTCTCAACCAGTACCTGGCTGGTAGCAGGCAAAACTGAAGTATTTGTTAAGTACAAAAAATATGGATTGGCTATTAGAAGTCATAAGTTCTCAGAGCCAGCAGGATCTTCTGAGCGCATCCAATTTATAGGTGTAACTGACATATTGAACCTAATGGCGACCAAAGATCTGATTTAAAACTCTGTGTTATTTTCCCCTCACACTTCCCTTCATAGTAATCCTTTATGGGATTACTATAATCCTTCCTGGGATTACCATTAGAATACGCAGTAGCAAACGCTGTGTGTATCCAGTCACCAAAAGGGTTCAGATTGATATCCAGCATCTTTCTAGGCACTGACTGATTGGCAGCTGCAGGCCCACACATACATTTGGGAGTCTCTCTGCTTGCCTCTCCCTCCCCATCAGCTGATAAGCTGCCAGAGAAGAGGAAGGAAAAGGACATTTGCTTGATTGACAATACATTGACAGCTGGCAGCACAGTAGCTCTCTCCTGCCAGGTCCCTCCAAATGAAAGTCACAAATCTTTTATCATTGATCTTTTATTCTTCACATTATATCCTCTTCCATCCATACCCAGAAAGATGCTAATGGACAGAGCTGCCTTTAAGATTACTCTAAGGCAACATTTCTATAATCTGGCCTCCATCTGCTACCTGTGATTTATGTGTTTCTTTGCCCACTGTAAAGAGGGAGTGGTAACATCCCCAGCCCCTCTGGTAGGCATTCCCCAATACCACCCCCTTAGACTCTGCTGCTGTAAACTGCTTTTTCTCCCCTGGAACCAATGTTTTGGTCAGCTTCTCAGCTGAACCTGAGGAGGGCCATGAGGAACGCTATGAAAGTTTGCGTTAGAAGACACATCACCTCCCATCAAGCCCATTCTGTGGGTTGGGGGACTGGTTAGTCCCCCTAGCACCATGGAAAACTCTGTATTACTTCGCTTTCCTGTAGTTTATCAATATTGCCTTTTGGAACTTTGAACTTTTGACAATGACTTAGCCTTCATCCACAGCCCAGAGTTGTGTAACATTGTCTAAGAAATGTGCATGGAAAGTCTCTTTCAAAGTGTGCATATGGGAAGACCCTCTTTCATGTTTTGCCTGAGTGCCTGGACCTTCTCTTGGCACCTTAATGGAAACTCCAGAATGATTATTCTCTGCCTTCCATGCGTTTTCCATACTGATAATTTGAAAGCCGTGCTGGGGTAATTGTGTTGGAACACTCAATGACTTTTCTGTGCAGAGGGGCCTGCTCTGTGCCAGCAGATCACCTGGTCACCTTGTTCTAGAAGCTACACCACTGTCCAGTGCAGAGAACTGAGCTCAGTGACTAGCCCTAGTTATTGCCTGAGTTAGCAGCACAGCAGACTCATCACGGGTCAGTGTGGTTCAAGAGAGCAAAGAAAGACTAAGAGAGCCTGATTGAAGACAAGCAAAATTTGCAGGATTTCTGCTTTCAGTCACCCTGCACCCCACATTATCACATCATTTTCTCAGCAGCAGTCTACTTTTTGTACAGCTGATAAGCACCCATGACATGTAGGCCTCTCATCCTTCAGGAGATAGTTTCTTGACTGTTTGAAATAGCATGAGTCCATCTCTCTGTTGACTGTTGATTGAGTGGGTAGTTATACTGCCATAGTAAGTGGGACAGATGCCCCATCTTCCTTTACTGCTCTCCCCCTCCCCGTTATATTGAGACAAGTTGTGTCATGGCTTTGGAAATCCTTTTACCGGCTGCTTCACCTTTCCTTCTGTCATGCTTTTCCTGAATTCATCACAGGGATCAGCATTGTCCATTTGTTGAGAGCCCTAAATTTGGTGACAGAAGACTTGGGTTTTCATTTCATCAGATCCTCTAGCTTCTCAGAGTCTCATTTTCCTCATGCATTAAATGGAAGTAACAGTAGTTAGTGCCTACTTTGCCCACTTTGAAGTTGTGCACGTCAGCTGACATGAATATGCTTTGTAAGCCATTGAGTGCCAACTGGAAGTTATATGTCATTGCTGCAGTACCCATGATGGCTACTGGCAATCTACAGGTCCTAATAGTCACTACCTTGTGTAATCTCCTCCCTTCAATGTGGACTAGATTTAGTGACTCACTTCTAATGGGTAGATTAGGTAGTGTGGCATCTCTTTTGTGGCATCCCTTTGAATCTTGGACCTCTCACGCTGGGAGGACATGTTTCAACAATCCTATGGAGGATTCTACTTGTGAGAAACTAAAGTCTCATCCCAATACCCACCTTGGTCCCCCATCCCCGCCATGACTAAGCTTGAAATAGATCCTTCTGTCCCACTCTAGTCCCAGGATGGTACAGCCCCAGTCATATTTTGTTTGCCTGAGTGAGAAGAGACACCAAGCCAGATCCACCAGCTCTAATGTTTCTGGATTCAGACCTTTAGAAAATGAATCCTGTTGTTGGTGGTTTTTATTGGGGGTGAGGGTAGGATTGGGGACCACACCCATAAATGCTCAGGGCTTACTCCTGACTGTGCTCAGGTATCACTCCCGGCGGGCTCGAGGTGCCATGGATCAAACCTGGGTCAGCCACATGCGAGACATACTCTACCCACTGTAGTATTACTCCAACCCCAATCCTATTGCTGTTTTAAGCAACTAGAAGGTGGGCTAATTTATTACATACAGTGAATACCATTGATAAGTCTCTGCCCTTAGAAAGGGCGGTGTATATTTGGTTCCATATAAAGAAAATGAACAATATTTTTTTGCTTTTTGGGTCACACCTGACAATGCACAGGGGTTACTCTTGGCTCTGCACTCAGGAGTCACTCCTGGCAGTGCTCAGGGGACCATATGGGATGCTGGGATTCGAACCTAGGTCAGCCGCGTGCAAGGCAAATGCCCTATCCACTGTGCTGTCTCTCCAGCCCCACAAATTAAAGCATTAATCTGACCGAATCCTCTAATTAGAAGCAAGTGTACTGAGGTGGAAAGTCACTTCAGTTGAATTTTATAGTATTTTCTACCGTTGTGTGACTATTGCAGTTTATTTTTCTTTTAAGAACTTTTAGCAATTATCCCAGTTGGAATCCAGGGTGGAAAATTGAAATCACCCCAGTTATCTTCACAAGTAATTTAAAAGAGATGTCTGTTACTGGGACTGAGTCATCAGGAAGCAGCCTGCACCTCTAGGTGGTGGGGGCAGCTCATGCAAGGGTGGGGTTTGAACCTTTCAGGCAGGGATGCCACTGCACTACAGCAGGTAGGTAACTGACAAGGGAAAAGGAAAACTAATCCTGAATGTTTGGGAGGGACCAAAAACAAGGCAGAAGTGAACCACTGATATTGGAAGCAACTGAAGGCCCGAGAGAAGTTTTCTCTGACATACACCTGGAATACAGGAAAAAAGCAATTAACCTCTCCTTTCTAGCAGTAGTAGCAGGCAAAGTCACAATATGGCATTTACTTCTCTGAGACCCAGACTATACTATAGCTATAGCTTTAACTGACCTGGTAGAATCAAGTGCATAGCTTTCTCTGATCTGGCAGAAACGAGTGCTTTCCCACTGATGTCCTCAGAGACTTCTGTGTATATATCTGTCACAATATTTGCCACTTTGTATGATCACCACCTCCATCATGTGTGTCTCCACTAACCAGCTCCTTTTGGGTTGGACATCTGGATTTCCTCATACCTTGCAGACACAAATAATATGTGCATACTGATTAGAATTGAGTCCATCCTTCAAGGGGCTGTGTGATCTCAGTGTGAATAGAATTGAAGGAAGACCTGTTGAGAGTTTCTGATCAAAGACAAGAGGCAGCCACATTTATGAACACAAGCTCCATCTCTCATTGATGAGTGTTAAAATTACACACTTGTTTTCTAGTGGGCCACTTGAATTTGAGAATATATGTTGCAAGAACTTTAATTGTGAGCATCTTTAAAGCTTTTTGAATATCTATAGAATTGATGGGCTGGAGCGATAGCACAGTGAGTAGGACATTTATTTGCCTTGCATGCGACTGACTCAGGTTTGATTCCTCCATCCCTCTTGGAGAGCCCGGCAAGCTACTGAGAGTATCCCGCCTGCATGGCAGAGCCTGGCAAGCTCCCCATGGCGTATTCGATATGCCAAAAATAATAACAAATCTCACAATGGAGACATTACTGTGCCCGCTCAGGAAAATCAATGAACCATGGGAGGACAGTGCTACAATGCTATGGTGCCCACTAGCTTTGTTTCATTTTTCTTTATAGGCACGCTTCAGTACATGGCACCTGAGATTATCTATCAGAGTCAGGGACGTTTAAGCTCTGGCTCCCCAGCTGATATCTGGTCCCTGGGTTGCACCATGATTGAGATGGCCACTGGAAGGCCCCCCTTTTCTGACTTAGGTATGCCACAGGCAGCAGTGTACAAGGTAAGATATGGGGATTTGGGTTGCTGGTGTTGGGGAAATAGAACGAAAATCAAAATTTCTCTTCGCAATCCAGAAACCTCTCCACAAAGGTAGAAGAGAAGTGGTTTTGTTCGTGAATAAGGTGTAAATCACAATGGGACAGGCATTATAGACCATCTGCTCAAAGATTGCAAAGTCAGGAAGAACTCTCATTCTCATTTTGGGGGCATTTGCCCTCATACTGGGTATGACAAATCAAGGTCAAAGGCCTTTGTCAAAGGCCAGGGATGGGATGTGGGAGGTGGGGTCGGGCTCATTGTCTTTGGAGAAGGTTCTACTTGGTGTGGGAGAGGAGAGGCCTGAGGTATGAAATAAGGTATCCTTTCCCATTCTAAAGTACTTCTCTGGATAGTTTTCAGACAAGTTGATGCTAGTGGAGGGTTCTTGCCTAACTGTGGACGCTGAGCCCTTAGGACATGCTTGCTCAGGACCTCACAGGAAGTTGCTCCCAGGACAGTTCAGTGTGTCAGATCTGGTTGGCAGCTGCTGGCTGTGTGCTTGGACATGTGTACAAGGGGCTGTAGTCTTACAGACATGCATATGCATGCTTGGTGTTTTGGGTACCCCATTTCTTTCCTTGGTTATATCCAGAAGGTCCTTGGAATTTTCCATTCTCCAAGGAGCTGCAGCTGCCAAGCCAGGGCCACAGAGGGACAAGCAACTTTGGCACCTGTACTCCCAAGGTCCTGCCCACCAGGGCTGGAGGAAAACAGCAACCTTCCCCTGCCCTTCAATGTCTTTCTTTGGAGTCACCTGGGGCCACTGATACCCCCATCTCACACTTTAATCCCAGGTCTGGGCAGAAGAAGGAACTGGGGCCAAGGAGACAGTGGTCCCATCCAAGTGCCATGTCTGTTCCCTTCTGCAGTCAATTTTCCACAAAGTCTAGGGAACCACATGAAGGCTCTGGGCTTTCTTGATTCAGCCATAGGCATAAGCAAAGTTCCCACTCCTCTCTGCCTCTTCTTTCTGCTTAGCTTGTTAGCACTTTAGGTTCCAGGAGGGTAGCATAAGCTTTACGGATGTGTAGGGAGGCAGCTTGTGTGGCAAACGTCGAAACTACTATTGGATGCTGCATGTTGTCTTTGCAGACACTAGAAGTGATTCTAGGTTCTCTAGAGTCCTTCAGGGGGAAAACGTGGGAAATTCTGGACAGTGTTGAAATAAAGGTAACTCTTTTATCTTCCCATGGTTATTGGGTTAAGTTGTGCCCCCTGAAAAAGACATACTAAAGTCTTAGCCCCTAGAAGCTCAGAATATGACTCTGTTTAAAAACAGGGTCTTTGCCGATAACAGTCCAAATGGGATTAGTTGGACCTTTTAAAAAGGGGGAATTTGGACTTACAGACAGACACTCCTTGCAGGAAGGAGGTGATGTGTGGAGACATAGAAAGACACAAACGGAGTCCTCATCTGAAGGCAGAAATTGCAATACTATACCTACGCCAGGTGGCCCCAAATATTGCCAGCAGCCCCCAGAAACCAGGGGGCAAAGAAAGAGTCCCCTGTAGGTTTCACAGGAAGCTCTGATGGTTGGCACCTTGATTTGAGAATTTTGGGGGAGATACCCACCTGCAGGCGAGATACGGCAGAACCTGGCAAGCTACCCATGATGTATTCGATATGCCAAACACAGTAACAACAAGTCTCACGATGGAGATGTTACTGGGCCCGCTCGAGCAAATCGATGAACAACGGGAGGACGTGATGGACCGTGATGACCCACCTGCAGATGCTCAGGGGCTACTCCTGTGCTGCTCCTTGGGGTCATTCCCAGCAGTGTTTCGGGACCATATGATGCTGGTGATGGAACTGGGAATTGTGTAAAACCTGTTTTCAGTCTGCTGAATCATCTTCCCAGCCCAGCGCTTTGATTTCTGGACCTGCGGCTTCCAAAAGTGAAAAAATTTCCATTGTTCCAGGTCACCCAGTTTGGGGTTCTTTTTTGGGACCACATGAACAGAATAATATAGGAGGCCCTTGAATATCCCCAAAAGTCATGTACCAGCAGGATATCAGGAACACTCACATTTGCTCTATCCTTTCTAAGAGCCAAGGGTGAAGCTTCCTTTTTCCCTTTGGGTTCTTGTCCTGAGGGTTTTTCTCTGGCCACAAGATAGCCATCAGAAATTATCTTGGAGGTTGGACCCCATGCAGCCTTTAGGTGCTTTCAGAATCTAGTTTGGTGTAAAAAGTTTCTTGTGATAAGAAGTATTCAGGTGAAGAATGGTAAGCAGATTCTCTGAAACCTGCAGCGAGGCAGTCCTGGCCCCATGTTGTACAAGGGGTCTTAGAGTTCAGTCACCTGCCTTCACTGACACCTTGAGTCTGAAGCCCAGTAACTCCCCACTTACCCCGCCCCCAGAAACCCGAGTCCTGTCTGGGTTGTGAAGTTGGAAACCTGAGCGGGCATTCTCCAGAACAACCAGATCTGACTGGTTGAGGGGCGCAGGGGTGACCGAACCACCCCCAGAGTTCCTGAGGCACTGGGAGTGGGTGAATCTGAAAGACAGATTCCTACCCCTGGCTTACTTACTGAGTGATCTTGGGAAAGAAAAAGAGAGATTCCAACCCTGCCCCCAGGGAACAGTGGGACAACTCAGCCCCCAGCTTCTGAAGCTCTGGGAATAGGAGGCTCTGGCAGGATCGCGATGAGCTGGCAGAATAGGAGTGAAGAAGAAGAGTCCCAGGACAGGGACAGGGGAGCAGTAGTGACCTCGAGGCCCGCATCTTAAGGGTGGAGGCTTGGTCTGGGATTGCCTAGAACGGGACTCCTTTGGGAATCAGAAACAAATCACAGATGCTTGCAGTCATCTTGAATATGGGAGCCGTCTGTTCGCCAGTGGGCCAGGCCTTGTCTCCGCTGCCTTCAGTTGTGGAGCAAACACCACACAGAGCCCCAGACAATGAATGTTTGTTGGCTAGCTTTGGTTCCTGCACCGCCCCCGCGTCCTGGCGGTCCTCTAGCCAGGGCAGGGCATTCACCAGCCTCTTCCACCCCTCCCTTCCTCCCAAATGGTCGCACCCAAGCCTCTTCTGAAACCCCCTAATGTCATGATCTCTCAGCATATTCTGCAAAGGCCAGTCCCTGGGGCTGTGCTTATCCATTGGTCCCCAGCCCCTCCCAGGACAGCAGGTGGGCCAATGATGGCCTTGAAAACCTGCATCCTGGATTCAGCTGACACCTCGCTGTTGCTTTGCTTGCCTCTCCATTAAACACAGGTGGGAATGTTGAAGTGCCATCCAGAGCTTCCAAAATCTCTTTCCTCTGAAGCCCAAGCCTTCATTTTGTCCTGCTTTGAGACTACCCCCAATAAACGCCCCACTGCTGCCCAACTACTCAAAGACAAGTTCTTAATGCAGGTGAAGAACACCAAGAAGTACCAGATTACTTTCAAGCAACCAGGTGAGGCTACCTGGGGAAGGGTGGCAGGCTGTGCCTGATCACACGGCAACCAGCTTGTGAAAAGTGCCCGTGCGAGGGGCCTGGTGGGACTAGGTGTCAGTCTATGTCAGAGCTGGGGCGTGACTTGGGTCTTGGCCTATTGCCCTGTGCTGTTCCCAGCCTTGGTTCCAGGGAGTCAGGGGAACTGGGCCTGCTGGCCACTGAGGCCAAGGCACTCCTCTGCGCCTCGGTTGGCCTTAAAGGAGGTGGTCCTATCTCCTGAGGTCAGTCAAGTAAGTAGCCAGAACCTAGTAGTTCTACATTTCGCTCAGCATCACCCTCAGCCTGCCCTGCAAGCTGGTTAGACATGCATCTCACCAGCATCCCTGCAGAGAGGGGTGCTCCATTAGAACAATGCAGACTGAAGACCACCTGGTTTGTGGGACTCCTCTTCCCCTTTCCTGTCTGAACCCCTTCCAGGCTGCACCCCCCCACAGGATACCCTGGCTGAGCCTGACGTGGAGCGTCTCAATGTTGAGGATCAGCAGATCCCTTCGAACTTGGATACCAATGCAGAGACATTCTTCGACGTGGCCTCCACATCCAGGCGCCAGGAGGATGACTTGGCCAGGTACTGACTGCTGGGGCATGGTCCCTGCAGGGCCAACCAGGTAGCAAGAGGGGCAGCATGCCTCCTATTGGATCCTTCCCTGCCTCTTCCTGCTTCCTCCCTCCTCCACCACACCTCTCTGGGCTTGCCCCCTGCTCTTCCCTTTTTCTCTCCTTCTTACCCCTCCTCCCTTCTGATAATTGCATCTTTCAAGTCAAACAAATAATGGGGGCTTTTCTACCTTGCCCTGTTCCTCCCTACTTCCATGCTGATGTTGCAGGGGCGGGAACCACAGAGGGTTCAGCTCTTGGCCTTTATCTTGGCATCCTGGGGAAGCTTTTCTCCAAATGACTGTTACATGTGATTGTCCACAGTATGACAGATGACAGCTTGGAAAAGCAGAATATGACCGTGCACCTGAACCCCCAAAAGAGTGAACCAGACCTTTCCCTGATGGGCAATGACAGTGACTATCGCATCATCCTATTCAGAATCCTCAGGGATGAGCAGGACCAGCTGATATCCATCCTGCAAGAATACTTGGTCGAGGTACAGGCTGCGGGCGAGTCCCACTCTGCTGGGCCCTAAGGGACATGGAAGTTCATACCACCCTGGGACACTAGTAAAGTTGTTTTAATCTTTGCCCTTATTTCCTATTGCCCCTCCCTTCAGCAAAAATTACTGGGCATGGTGCTGCCCCCTGGCGCCAAGTCAGTGCCATGGTCTCAGCCTTTGTTAGTCCCAATGCTGAGCCCTGCCTGGAGCCCAGTTAATCCCCAGATGTAGGACATAGGATCTGGCCCAAATACTAGGAGAATGACCACTTAAGAGAGAAGGGTGATAGATGAAACTATTTGAGTTTTAATATCTTTTGGATGAGGAGAGTTTCTTACAGAACGCCCCATATGAACATGGTGTCCTTTTTTAAAAAATGAATCACAGTTACAAACTTACAAACTTTCATGCTTACGTTTAGGTCATACAATGATTGAGTACCCATCCCTCCACCAGTGCCCATTCTCCACTGTAAAAACTTTCTGAGGGCGGCCAGGGGGTGGCCCCTACAGCTCTTTCCCTGGCCACCCAGGTTCTGAGTAGCCCGGACTGCTCACCCAGCCGGGGCGGCCCGGGCCGTGGGGCAGACGGTGGACGAAACGAGGGCCAAGATGGTTGATTGATCAGATGCCGTTTATTCCATTCTCCCCACCCGCCTGCCCCAGTCTCTCTGAGCCCCCCATTCTAGTCTCACACTGCCCCTCATTCCCATCTCCTCCTGTCTCTCTGCGCTCCATCTCGCAGCCTGGGCGCTCTCTCCACGTGCCTGCTCCTATATTCTTCTTCTACATCCTTCTCGCTCTGTCCCTCGTGCTGATCTCTCCACGCTGCATCTTGCTGTCCTGTTTTCTCCCATTCTCCAACTCTCTCCACTCTCTGGCTCTCCAACTTCCCAGCACTTTGGGCTGACCCTGCACCCAGTCTGGTAGCCAGTCAACATAAGAAAACCCCTCCTGAGTGCCTACCAGGTTCAAAAGAACACCAATGTTCATAGTTTACCTCAGTCCTCCCCCGCATTTCCACCCCCTCCTCTGTGGCAGGCACATTCCCTTTTACTCTCTCTCCCTTTGGGTGTTGTGGTTTGCAATACAGGCATTAAGTGACCAATCATTGAACATGATGTCTTACAAGGTCACTTGGGATAGGGCTTACAAGGGGTTAATCAGGAAAAAGGAATTGTTTCTACAGGGACTATAACATATGTCTGGGGGTGTAGGGCATGGGTGAAATAACCCTAGCCAATGGTGAAGAGCAGTGTTATCCATAGATTTTCCGTACTACTTCTTGAATTTTTCTGCACTCTCTCTAACTTAATGCAAATAATTATCTTCTTTTGGGGGGGTCACGGGAAAAGCAGAATGCAGAAGAGCCATATCTGTCAGTTGGCTGCATCGAGAAAATCATTCGGATCATGAGGGACTTCGTCCGTTCACAGGACATCAAAATGTTGATGTCCACAGTACCACAGCTGAGGTTAGATGTGGACTTTGACAGCGAATACATTGACCAGGTCCACTTGGTTTTCTTTGGATTCCAGGATGCTGTAAGTGTTCCTTTGAACTCTTGAGAGTGTGCCAAAAGGCATGAAACCCATGGGTGGGGCTCATAGTCAAGGTCAGGGTGTCCAATTACCATCTTTGCCCATAGTCCCCATCATTTCTCACTGGTTTACACCCCAAGTCCCGATCTCAGGAGTCCTTCTGAGCATTGACTGCAAGTTCAGGTGAACCACCTGCCCCCAATCTAAGAATCAGAATATAGAATTTGATAACAGATGGCATCTGTTAAGAGGTTTAAGCTTCTGGGTCTTCCCAAACAGGTGAGCAGTTCCAGACCCAAAACCATGGCTCTCTGTCCCAGAGGCTTCACAGAACCGACTTAAGCAGGGAGGCAGCTCTGACTAAGGCACACAATCTCGAGAGCCTAGTTGCTTCAACTGTAACTGAATGTGAGGGTTACGGGAAATTCAACAATACTAAAAGATTTCTTGATACGCAGTGACCAAAAATTCAAAATCAAATGCATAATAAATCCAAGGTGTTTCCGGCAGGGCTCACCTGTGCTGCATTTCTTGGGTGAAAGGGGGTTGCACGTGCAAAAAAAGTTTAAGAAGCCCTAGTCTACATCCCCAGCATAGCTTTGGGGCCACTTCGAGAGGATGACTCAGTGCAGAAGAAATTTGAGTGTGGCAGAAATCCAGAGCAACCAAGTTAATACTTTATCTCTGAGTAGAAGTGAATTAGATTAAGTAGAAACTTCTATTTCTTAAAAGCATAATGGACCGAAAATCTGGATTCTTGTGAATTTTCAGGTAAATAGAATTCTGAAGACCCGCTTAATTAGGCCCCAGTGGATGTATGCAATGAACAACGTAATTTATCAAGCTGTGCATGCTTCGATCTCCGTTCTTATTCCAGGTTAGTGCCTGCTTTTTGGTCAAGATCAGCTTAAGGCTTTGGAGTCTATGATTCTGGTAACAACTCTGAAGAACTGTACAGGCCCGCCCACCTGCTGCCCGGGGGACTGAACCAAGGCAGCTGCAGAGCAGTCACCACTTAGGAGCTAGCAGAAAGTACGGAACCATAAGGCCAGGCGTCTTCCAACATGACCTCAGTGTATGCTTAGGAATCCCTGAGTATTTCTAGTTGATTTCATTCAGTGCCTGGTCCCCTCTCTGATGATCACGCAGTAGCGCTCCTTGGCTTTTATAACCTTCTGAAATGTTCAAACCACTTACTTCCCACATACATGCTCCTGTGGTGACTGAATAGCCCTGCCCTGAACATTGCCACTCCCTCCCTGCCCTGGAGGGAGGTTTAACCTCCAGGAGAGGCTTGTTAAACCCCAATACTGAATTCCCATCAGGTATTACCTCCATGCAGGCCGTTTTCACTAGGAAAGCAACCAAATGGTTGCTTGGAAAGCCTACTGGTACCTTTGTGAAACTGTCTGGCTAACTGCCATCTTCAGGCCTCAGAACCCCCACATATGAACTGGGCGTGCTTACCTTCATAGACTGGTGTGCACTACTAGTCTCCACTCCAGTGCTAGCTAGCAGTCCTGAGGGGATACACCGCTAGCCAAGCTCTGCAGGACAGAAAGCACACCAAGCCCTGGCCTTGCTGACCAACATTCATATCTCCTTCCATGACCGTATAGAGCTGAGCCCCCGCACGGAGCCTGTCTCTGCCGCTGAGGATAAGGTGGCTGAGGAGTGTCTCCCAGCAGGCCTGCTGGAGAGTGAAGACCAAGGAGCCTGTGGAGGGACCACAAACGCTTCAGGGTTTTCCCTGGAGCACCCGCAGGAAACGACCTTCCAGCTGAATGAGATCCGGCAGGAGACCGCCAGGTGAGCAGAGCCGGGGAAATGACCTGGCCAGCAAGACAGCTGGCTTAGTTGCCAAGTACTTCACCAGGGTCTCAGGAAAACTGACTGGAGGATTGGGGGCAGGGAGGGGGTGCTAGAAGAATGCTGTCTTTACTTTTCGGAATGAGAGCTGTGAGAGCCTTTCCACAAGCCACACAGAAAGCAGCATTTCCCGTTTCTGTGTCTTCCTTCAAGAGAGGGCCTGTGGAAAGTAACGGGGTAACACATGCAGTTGAGTTGGAGGGTGGATGAGAGGGAATCGATGTTGAAGGGTGTGGTGTTGAAATTATGTCCACAAAAGATACAACCCAAAGTTACAGCAAAGTAGTTGGTGTTTGTTCCAAATGATACCTTGCTGTTCATGAGCAATGGTTATGCTAATACTGCTTTAAATTTTATTGATAAATACTTAATATCTTGGAAGAAAGTTGGGTGCAGCCCTAAGAATCTCTTAATTTATATTAACCTCCTTGTTTATATGGGGCCATCCTCAGAGCTTACTACTGGATCTGCACTCAGGGATCATTCCTGGTGGGCTTGAGGGACCATATGGGGTGCCAGGGATCACACCCTGTTTGGTCGCGTGCAATGCAGACCTACCCGCTGTACTCTCTCTGGCCCGGATCTCTTAAATTTAATCTTAGGCAGATCTCATCCTTTGGGGGGAAAAAAAACCCTTACGTTGTAATTAATTGGTAATAGTGGCAAATTTTTAAAATGTGGGACTAGTGAGATAGCTCAAGTGGTGGCACCCAGGGTCAGAGTGATGGCTTAGAGGACTGGAACACACTTTGTGTTCAACCCCCAGCACTATGTGGGCCTACAAGCACAACCAGGTGTGGCCCAAAATGCACCCCGCACACCAAAAAAATTGGGCGAGTGCATACAGAGTATGTGAAAGGTCCTGAGTTCCAACTCAGATGGCCAGGTGTTGCCAGGAGTAGCCCAGAGTCTACTTTGGAGCCCACCTCACGGAATAACTCCAGTGAAACTCGGTAGTGTACTTAGTATTCCTTTTTCTTTTGGGGGGCTTATGGGACATAGCCAGAGGTGCTGAAGCTTATCCTTGGCTCAGGGGTCAGAACCTGGCAGGGCTTGGGGGATTGAACAGATGTATAAGGCAAGTGCCTTACCTGCTTGTACTAGCTGTCCAGCCTGCTTTTTCATTCCTGCTAAGGTTTATAATCACTAAAATCCCATTACTTATGGGTTCAAAGATTATTTCTCTTCACTGTTGCTACTCATTGTTACTTTCAGTCACACTAGAATCGTGTCAGCCAGCATATGCTTCCTACATAGTGTGCCCGTCCTTGGGGTCTAGGTCCTTAGCTGTTGCTGAGGAGAACCAGAGGATGGCAGTTCCTGCCCAGGGTGACGGTGAAACTTGTCAGCCAGTCCCTTCCTCCCCCCTCATCTGCAGGCAAGATGTCAGAAGCGGCATATACTTGAAGGCCAACTAAGCCTTGTCTTGTCCTAGGAAGGACCGTGCACAAGAGTTGGAGTCAGAAACTGCCCTAGTAGGAGTCCAGCCTGTATGAGTGAATTTACTTTTACCTTAGTATAATCTCAGCTCCAAAAGTGGTGTAAGAGGGGTCGGAGCGATAGCACAGCGGGTAGGGCGTTTGCCTTGCACGCGGCTGACCCGGGTTCGATCCCTGGCATCCGATATGGTCCCCCAAGCACCGCCAGGAGTAATTCCTGAGTGCAAAGCCAAGAGTAACCCCTGAGCACTGCTGGGTGTGACCCCAAAAAGCAAAAAAAAAGTGGTGTAAGAAAAAGTTACTTCCTAAAATTCGGTAAGGCATAGTGAATGCAGAAAGTATCTTTTTCTTCACCCCTCTTCTCCCTTCACTGTTTCACCAGGAGAGGGGCTCCCCTAGCTCCTGGGCTTAGTCCCCTCTGAGGAATGAGCCTGATTATTAGTTGAATGACTTGATCTGAGGAAGACATCCTGAAATGTCCAGATCATTCTACTGGCCGGGTTCTACTGATCATCATCAGGTTATCTTTATTTGGGGGGTCACATCCAGTGATTGCTCAGGGATCACTCTTGGCAGTGCTTGGGGGACTATATGTGGTGCCGATTTAACAGGGATCGGCCATGTGCAATCTGTACGACCTGATCTCCTGATCTCTCCAGCCCAGCTTACCTTTTGAGATAGTTTGAGACAAACTCCACTTATGCCCTGAGCACTGGACTTCCTTTCCAACAAAACACAAAAGGTGTGATGTGCATGCTGGAATCTGCTCGCATTTACTTCCCCACTGCACTGACCTTGGACTATGCCACCTTTTTTTTTTTCTAATCTTGAATGTTCAACAGATGTTTGAATGAATGGTATAAGGCTCTTCTCTGGATAACGACTTTTACTTTTAACCAGACTTTTGAAAGCCCTAAAGGAAAAAGAGAATGAGTACCAGAGTCTTAAACAGCAAAGGGTAGGATTGAAAACTCAAGAAATGCATCAGCTTCACTTCCGATTCAGCACTTGCGGTGAGTTATTTTTCACTTGCTCTGAATTACCTCAACTCTAAAACCCATTTCCTCATGAATCCTAAGGCCTTTTAAGAACAAGGAAATTAAGCACACGGAGTGGTAGACATCGGATTCCAAATGAAAGCTATTCTATAGCTAAAAATTATTTCAGTCCCTGAGAAATGAATCCAACAGCTATGGATTGTTGCATAATGTTGCATAATGTGTATTATTAGGACAGCTGAACGGACAGAGTTCATTCATGTCACACAGGAATATTTTATTTCATCCAATTTGGTTTTGTTTTTGAAAAGCTACACATTAAAACAAAAACATTATTATTATCATTATTGTTATTACAGAGAATCCAGTATTCTCTCATGGGTCCAATGAGCAGAGAGTAGAAGAACTTGTAGAGTGGTTACATATGCAAGAACTGGATGCAGATACAATTGAAACGGTAAATTCACAACCCCCAAAATTCATTTGCATACTACTCTTCCAACACAACTGCTAAAGTACTTGATTTTTGTTTCAGATTGTGGAAGAGGGTCTTACACTTTTTGATCTCCTAAATAATATCACTAAAGAAGATTTAAGATACATCAAACTACGGTAAGGATAAAACACTTGTGTAACAGAAAAATGACTTAAGTGACAAAGTACTGCTACAATTTCTCCCATTACTGAAATTCATTCCCTTTCCTATGACTTTGAAAGCAAAACTCTATTCCAGACTCAAGTTTTCATGTTAAAGGTAGAAAAAAACACAGGACGGGAAGAAGCTAAGGTATAGTCAGAGAAAAACGGATGGTGAGACAAGAACCATCCCTATCTGGTTGAAAGGAGTGGAGAAAAGGCATGCTATGCCATGCTACCTCATAACCTTCCTTCTAATGAAACTTATCACATCATCCTTAGCTAATTGCCTGTACAGATCACCCAGCACAGCCCTCACGGTACAAATGTCACCTCTCTACAGGGAGACAATTTTTTTTCTTTTTAGTGTGCTAGGGAATATAAACCTAGAATTATATATACTGTAATTTTAGCCAGATGAGCTCCTCAAAGGATTTTGTCTTTATTTTGCAGTGGCACCGCCGTCTACAAACTGTGGACTGCAATTTCCCAGTACAGACGAGATGTTCAAGGATCTTTGAAAGAAGTAAACTATTCAGCTTAGTTATCAGCTTCGATAGTTTTTCAAGCACTATTCTCATAGATGGTTTTATTGCATTAACATGTTTTAGGACTATGCCTTATGTAATTTGAATGTATAAGCCATTTGCCTATTTGAAATGAGTTTGAAGGAGTGTTATTTAAAATGTAATTGTCCTTTACCCTTCATTATAATAAATCGTTCTGTTAAAGAAATACACTTCAGTACTCATGCCATTACAAGGGGTGGGCTTACAAGGAATTGTTTTAAGAATATACATACATACATTGGATTACAATCATTATAAGTAAATCATTATAAGTAGAACCTCTAAAAAGACCACTTGAGGAACGTTCATTGAAACTATTACCTATTTTTAGATCTAAGTGGAAAAATAGGAACGCAAATAACCCACTGAAAGTGTAAACATCTTAACTAATAGACTTATACTTGATCCATTGATTTGCACCACGAACTTCAAAAGGTGGCTCACTGCTATAGATGTGATAGCCCAGCTCTTCCAGAGGCGGTTCTGGATCAGCAGTGGCAAACTGGGCAGCATCCTCAATTTCTTTCCTCACTTCAACATCAATTTCCTAAAAATAAGATTACAGTTCAAGAGATCTTTGAAACAGCAGGAGTTTAGGTACATAACTGAGTACTAACTGGTTAAATTCAAAGATTTTTTTTCCTTAAATGATGCAATGACCTACATAGGAATATGTGGGAATACCAGGCTTCAACATTAAAATTAAAACCTTTGCAAGGAAGCATCTATGAATTAAAAGTCCAATGTTTATTTTTAAGATAAAAGAATTATGCTAGCATACTTGGTAGTTTCCCATTTACTAAGGAAGCTTACCTAGGATGAGCAAAATTGTTTGTACAGAAAACTGCTCGAAAGGTGAGCCCACCTTTAAAGCCAGACTTTGAAAGCATTTAGGACTGTACCTTTAACTCTTCAACACTGGCAAGATTGTTGTTCACCATTCTATCCTTGAGAAGCATGATAGGATCACTCTTGCTTCTTACTTCCTGGATTTCTTCTCGTGTCCGATAACTAAAAGGAGAGTGGGGTTAGTTACGAGTAGGTGAGGCCAGTTTGTTCAGTATAATACAAGGCCAGGTGTTAAAACAGTATTCTGACAACAGGGACTAGATAGATACAAAGGCATGAAAATGGTGGAGCCTATTTACATGGTGAGGTAGTGGAGAGTTTCTGTGTGGTGAACAAAAACTTGGTTAACAGGTTCTCTAATTCTGTAATACTTCTTTCCTGACATCACCTGAAAGCCACTAAAAGGAAAGGTGCTACCATTTAAAATAAATTGGGAGACACACCCAACAGTGCTCAGGGAACCATATGAGATGCTGGGGATCGAACCTGGGTTGGCTTTGTGCAAGGGAAGCATCCTATCTCTAATAACAATGATACAAAATAGATTTATTTTTACTAATATTTTCCCTTATAATTCCAATCTACACATAAAGGCTGTCACCTTACATACCAGAACTACTTAAAAGTACAAGTAAAACTCCTAAGACCCTGTGTGTCCTTGTTCCAGACAACCAGCAGGACAATTTCCTATTCTAGCTCTTTACCTATGAGGGCATAGCGAATAATGTCCACAAATATTTTACATATTTTATGTAGCAACTTCTCTGCATTTTTAAATGTAGCTGCTGATATTAATATGGCATGCTCTATGATGTAGAGATTTTCAGAAGGCTTGCTATAGTAGGAGGCACTGCTCTCAGACTAAGACTACTTGACGCCAACTTCACTAATTCAAAAAACAAGTCAAAACATTGAAATGCCTCTTTTTCATGTGGGATGCACCACTCGAAGCCCACTCACTCTGGATACTTCGCTGGTTTCTCACAACCATACCTGACTCCAGGATCACTCATGCTGTGTCCGTGGTAACGGTACGTCTGTAGCTCCATAAGTATGGGCCCCTAAAACAATTCAAAGGAGAGGTTAGGTTAGGTTGCTTAAAACTTTTTCTCACTGCAGAAACTTTTACATGGCCCCAGGTTCATAGATATATAAGTCAAACATTGATAATAAGTCATAGATATTTACTTTGAAACGAAAAAAATGTTTTGGTTATGGGTCGCAAACTACAGTTTAAGAAGATAGGAGTTAGAAAACATGTAGAGCTCAATGATAATTCATAGGCTAAACTGGAGATAATGTAATATTCACATATATCTATAGGTCAGCTGAGTTGTTAAGAATTCATTGGTTGATATTTCTGAATTTTAATACCCACTTATTGCTTGTTTCATCCCATCACTTGAGGGCTACCTACTCCCAACGGTCCTCGGGGATCATGCAGTGCTTGAGTATTGAACCCAGAGCTCTAGCATACACTTCAGCCCTTTAAGCTATCTCCTTGTCTGCCTTTCATTTCATTTTCTTTTTTTCTTCCATTTCGAAGATTTTTATTTGGCCATAATAATTCTCACCATACTTTTTTTTAAAAAATTGATCACCGTGAGATTCAGTTACAAGGCTGTTGATTGGGTTTCAGTCATACAATGTTCCAATTCCCGTAAGAAATGGACGTTACGTATGTACACCAGTGTACATTTCCCACCACTCTACCCACCTGTCCCTCCCCCACCAGCTTGCCTCTATGGCAGGCACTTGTCTTCTTTTTCTCTTTTTCCTTCTAGGCATTATGGTTTGCAATATAGGTTCTGAGAGGTTATCATGTATATCCCTTTACCTACTTTCAGCACGCAGTTCTTGATCCCTTTACCTACTTTTAGCACGCAGTTCTTGTCCAGAGTGATCATTTCCAATTATCATGGTCTTACTGGTCCCTTCTCTATCCTAACTGCCCTCCCATCGTCTTTCTATTTGTGACAAGCTTCCATCCATGGACCAGTCCTGAACCAGTTCCTTCATTTTTAAGAAGGAACTGCCTATTTCATCAGCATTGCCTTTGGTTATGTACTGATACGTAATCCCTTAAAAACAGCTTAGATCTCATTTTTTTAAAAACCCTACTAGCAGGAAATGGCAGCCAGAAAAGGTTTAGCTTTTATCCTTAGGGTCAAGGATTAGTCTTTCCCACAGTCAGTACAACACTAGTAATAACTAAAAGGCAAACCTTGGGGTGTTGAAAGTGCACAGTCTCGAGAACTAAAGCTATAGGCTGGGAGGTTAAATGTTTGCCTCACATTCATTTCGTGCAGTGTTTTCCTAGGAGCTGGCACCCTCTCCGACTGCACACAAATGTGGCAGGTTGACAGGGCCCACGGCACTCAACCCCATGGTTCTGCCTAGAGGCAGGTACTCCTGCCATACTAGCTCTCTCGAGAGGATGACCTGGAATGCTGAGTCCAAGTGCCTGCGTTCTAAACCTGGCTCTGACCTGTTCTTAAATGCTCTGTGCTCATTTCCTCATTCTTATTATATTACCACAAAAAATAGCAATACTGACAAATACGCAGACTGAAAAAGACAATGCATAGAAAGGACTTAGCACTTCACTAATTTAAAAAATTAATTTTAAAAATGGCCTGATACAACAATCCCCTCACAAGTCACCTCACTTCCACGTTCTGCTGTAATTCAACAGCCATTTGCTTGGAAGCTGAGGGATTCTACACCCTCCCCTAATAATGCCAAGATCAGGCTTTGACCAGGTGGGAACAGTCAGCACACGCTACAAACCTGTTTGCACATAGTGTTGGCTCTCCCCACATTTTTTTGAGGAACTAGGTAGGAGAGAGAGAATGCCCATTGGCACCAAAACGCTATCGCAGACATGCTCATATTGCTGCTTCTAAGATTCGGTTTACTCTAGTTCCCTTCTCCACTGCCAGAACTGAAGGGCCAAGATTATTAGGAGAAAATACTAACATTATATGTTTAACTTATAGACCAAAGGGGGGAAAACCCATACTGATACTGAATGCCTACTTTAAAAGCAGAAGTGGCAGTGCCCAATCTGTTCATCCAAGGGGCCTATGATTGATGGGGATGGGATCTGAAAGCACACAAGTAAAGCTGAAGGCAAAAAAGTCATACCTGTCACAGTAAGGACAGGCAAAAATCCTAATGAAGCGGCAAAACATTTGTCCTAAATGGGGGCAACAAGGCAACTTTCTCAATAGGTGAACTACTGAAACCCCACACTGTTTGTAAAGGGACCCAAATCCATTTGGAGGGATACACAACTTCTACCGTTATCAACCTCAATCACAGCTACCTACTGAATGAATAAGAAAGGGTATTCCTTTTAACTTACAAGAGATAAATGCCATCAGATGTTGAGAGTCTTACCTTTCCAGATCTACAATGAGCAGCTGCAAACTTCGTCGCCTCCCGGACACATAAGACATCCATTCCGTCTACCTATTTATATACAGGAAAAGAACGGCTTAACTCATACGCCAAAACCATCTTAATTTTATATGACCTGCACTCAAGCGCTAAGGAAATAGAGCTCTTTGATGTGAGAGCCCAGCACAAATAAGTAAGATACCAAGCCACGAGGGTCTAGTGTGGCTCTGACAGGTGTCCTCACCCTCAGTCCTGGGATGAAGTCGCCTCTCTTGTAGTAATCTGTGCTGGCCGCTGCTCTCTCGACAGATGTTCCCATTCCATAGCGGTTATTTTCACAGATGAAAATACAAGGCAATTTCCACAAAGCTGCCATATTGTAAGCTTCAAAAATCTGACCCTGGAAATAAGTACAAGACATTCGAGTGACTTTATTTTACTCTTTATCTCTGGATTCCGACGTGGTCCATAATATTTGCTATTCTATGTGGCAGACAAAGATTTCATAAGGAATCAAAAGCTTTGTCCTCTGCAACCAACCTTTTTGGTGGTAAGGTAAAGTAGTATGCACTAAGGGTGCTGGGAAGCACTGCACTCTTCTTAATTTTTCATTTATTTTTTAATGAATCACCGTGAGATACAGTTACAGACTTACAAACTTTCATGATTACATTTCCATCATACAAGGATAGAGTAAGCACTGCACTCTTGCAACTATGGGAAAATGACAAACCAGGAGTACTGCCGGGATGGGAGGGGTGCAGTCAAGGCATTAGTATAGCTATAAAACACTGACAAAAAGGTCAACATGGAAAAATGTGACTACTTACTTTTATGCTTTATTATAAATTATATTGGACTAACTACAATGCATCCAGTCTGGTAAACACTTGGACCATAATGGGAAAAGCACAAGAAGTAACAGGGCTCAGGAAGTAACAGAAAAACTGGGTAACACCATAGTATCTAGAAAATAAGTCTGCATATTACACTACTGGTTTAGGAATTGTCCTGCCATGGGTAAAAAGGTAACAAGGTCCTACACAACAGAGTTAGAAAAAACTGAGGTACAGAGCCCCCACAAAACACTTGCAAAACATGACAAGAGGCAGATTTCCAAATCTGGCTATAAAATGAAATTTTAGGGGCCAGACGGTATGGCAGGTAAGGTCCTTGGCTCTGCATGCAACTGACCCAAATTCGATCCCCAGCACTACACATGGTCCCCCAAGCACAGCCAGAAGTGATCCCTGAGCACAAAGCCAGGACTAAGCCCTAAGCGCAGCTAAGTGTGGCCCCCAAAAAACCCAAGAAAGAAATTTTAGCTGACATATGAATGCCTGCCAACTCTACCTTTGTGTGTGTTTATATATTTCTAAATTTTTTAAAAGAACCGTGATTTACAAAGTTGAAAGTTGAGTTTAGACATATAATGCTCTAGCACCAATCCCAATTTCTCTCCACCAGTGTTCCCAAGTTCCCTCACACCCCACCAGCCTGCCACCTTGGTGGACACGTGAACATGTTACTTCTTTACAAACTAAATTATAACTTTAGAAATAACTTTTTCTATACTTTAGAAATACTACTACAATCAATAGTGGGAAGAATTCTACTCACCTGATTAGCAGCACCATCGCCATATAAAGTCAAACAGATCTCATCTTTTCCATTATACTTACAGGCCAGTGCAATCCCAGCTCCCAGGGGCACCTAGTATTAAGGACAATTGAAAAATGAATCACTGAAATCCATGAAGGAAGAAACAAATGCTCTGAATTTTGACTACCGACCAGACTCTGAGAGAGCAGTTGCTGCTCTCTATATCCCAACCCTATCCCCAATATTTTAAACAAACCAGTCAACAATTATGACATTCTATTTTAACCCATTAGGCAATAAATAACATTTGTGTAATAAGAGACTCAAGTATTAATCCTAAAGAGGCAGAAGTGGAAGTTAAATTAAAAAGTTTAGATTCTTAATATATTCGAAAACTAAACAACTCAGACAATCAGATGAAACGTTATACTACTGGTTTTGTATTATCCATGGATTGATGGGAACAAGAAGTATGGGAGCTAGTTTCAAGAGTGCCCGAGAACATGACTGGATAAAGAAAATGTGGTATATATACACAATGGAATACTACGCAGCTGTAAGATGAAATCATGAAACGTGCCGCTACAGGAGTGGAACTGAGAATCATGGTGAAGTGAAGTTAGTCAGTAGGAGAGGGACGAATACAGAATGGTCTCTCTCATGTGTGGGCTATGAGGAAACAGTAAGGGAGTAACAGTGGTCAAAGGCAACAGAACCTGAGGTCTGTAGAACTGAGCTTGCTACAGGCAGGGATGGGGCGTGAATGGGAGGAGACTCAGACAATGGGACGCTGTCTAAACCATGGGGCTTAACACTTTTAAAAAATTAGAACTGCAAAAAAAAAAAGACAAAGCAAAGAAAAAAATTAAAACTGCTTTATAAAGGAAGCTGGCTTCAGGCTTCTGGGTCCCCGAGAGCCTGATCTTCTTCTTCACTAGCAGCAGGGCACATGGATGTGTGCGTCCATGCACCTAGTCAGTATACTAAAGTATCAACTTAGAAGGTGTAGTATAGTACCACTGCTAGACACTCTTGTTGAGTTACTAAAAAGAAATATTTAAAAAGAAAATAAGTTACATCATCTGAATCCACTAAGCCAAATGCTAGGGTATGAAAAAGATCATTTACAAGCAACCAAGTCCTCAACTAAATCCGTTAGCGGGAACTTCACTGGGGTGTCAGCTACTTGAAAGACGCAGGCTGGAGCCAAATCTAGGAACGCGCTCAATCCTCCTCCCCTACCTGGGCTCCAACGATGCCATTGCCCCCGTAGAAGTTCTTAGCGTACATGTGCATGGAGCCCCCTTTTCCTTTAGCACAGCCTCCTCTTCGACCTACAAGTGGCAGGAAAAAACAACGGCTCAAAAAAATAAGCGTAGAAACAAAACGACACCCCAACTATTGACCACAGGCAATTTAAGACCGAGAAAGATGCCAACTACACAAGCACCTCCCCTCCATGCACACATGTCCTCCTCGTCTCCCCATCAGTTTCTAACAAGTCAGAAGAGTGCCCTGGCCCTGACTTTTCCAATCCTACATGCCCTAGCGGCATTCCCTCAGATGTTAACATGCTACACAGTGCTTCCGCAGGCCAACTCTATAAACACTGTCCAATTTCATTTCTGCTAGCCACTAAATAAACAGGTCAGGTGTCAATGGGCGACAAAGGCAAAAAGAATTATGATTCCTAGAATTAAACTGTTTCTGTGAAATGACTCAATTCACCTTCCCAGACTGCTAGATTTCTGCTGGCATGCTTAAGTGATACATAGTATTTTGGTTTTAAAGCTAACTTTTATTTTCTTTTTTGGCTTTTGGGCCGATGCTCAGGGGGTTTTCCTGGCTCTGCACTTAGGGATCACTCCTGGTGACCTTGGACGACCAGGTGTCGAACTCTGGTCGACCATGTGCAAGGCAAGTGCTCCATCTGTTGTACTATTGATCTGGCCCTAGAATTAATCTTTTTTTTTTTTTTTTGCTTTTTGGGTGACACCCAGCAATGCTCAGGGGTTACTGACTCTGCACTCTGGAACCACTCCTGGTGGTACTTGGGGGACCATCTTGGATGATGGGGATTGAACCCGGGTCAGCCACATGCAAAGCAAACACCCGAACAGCTGTACTATTGCTCCGGCCCCGAACTAACCTTTAAAAACTTTTACCTGAGGGGCAAGGTAACACCCAAATCAGTCATTTACTCAAAAGCATAAGAGCACCAAATAGAAAAAGGGATTTGGAGGTGGGGGGTTGTTTTACTGAAAAAGCTTCTACCTAACTCATAACATCATCTTCACAAGAGATTTGAAAACTTGGTTCACTAATTCCCTGTTTATAAAGAAACAGCAAACCTGTAAGCTCGGCAAGAATTTCTCTGACAGTAAGACCACGAGTTAAGGTAAAGCCGTGAGCCCGATAGGCCGTGATGAGATGGTCTGTGGGGTTTATGCCAGCCTCCAAGCCCACGCAACAAGCTTCCTACAAGAGAGGAAGAAGCAGCAACAAGTCAGTCCAATACACATTTTTGGATAAAAGGTTTTGCAGAATGTTATAAAATATTTAGCCTGCTGGAAGTCTGTAGGGTAACATTGGTTTGTCCTTTCTCCCTGGCCGCAGGGAGACTGCAACCATTCACAGTGCTCCCGAGGCATTTCTCTGTGTTTATCTTTAACCTCTTCTCTGCGCTCTCTTCCCCAGTCAATCACCACTTTCCCCTAAGCAGTACCTGTGACTTGTAAAGTCAAATTCCTCAGAAATCTCTGGACTTGTATTGTAAGGGAAATATTGCTTTTCCCCTTCCCTTATGTCCTTTTGCATAGTTTACTTCAGAGCAATGTCCTTTTTGTCTAGACACAGGAAGATAGTTAATGCTGTGCTTTTGTAACTTGGGACTCAATTGACTCCGAATAATATTCACTCCTGGGCATCTGTTTTCTCAGCTTAAACCTCAATTGCCCTTAGCTCCTAGCACCCCAAAAGCAGGATCCCAACGAGGGGCTGGATGAATCCAGGACAAGCTATGAGCTACCATGGTATCAAACTGAGCCAGGCCAAGTGCCATAATACTTAACTATAATTTAAGGGCATAATAATGGACAAATTTTGTCATGATCCAAAGAGTAACAACTGGATTAGGAACTGCTAGGGTTAGGAAAGACTAATCTGGCCTGAGCACTGTAGTTTGGGATCTATAGTGAGATGTCCCCAGAAAAACCACCCTACAAGCTTAATGTATCTCTTACTGTGTCCATACAAAATGACTAATATTAAGAAGTAGAAGTGAGCTGAATGTTTAAATGGTTGTTGGAATAAGGAAAGGAGAAACACACCCCTAGACTGTATTTTGCCGAAAGGCTTTCATATGTTGCTACCGGACATATGTGGTGGCTACCCCCAAGACTTGGAGGTTGAGGCTAGATGGGGGCTGTGAGATGGAGCGTGGAGAGACTGCATCGGGGAGAGGAGGAGACGGGACTGAGGGGTGGTGTGAGGCTGGCATGGGGAGCCGAGTGAGACTGGAACAGGCGTGAAGGGAGAATGGAATAAATGGCAGCTGATCACCCACCAGCCTGGCGGCCCTGTTTCCTCCTTCCTGTGTCTGTTGGCCGCGGCTACAGGCCGGGGTGGGGGAAGCAGCTCAAGGCCACTGAATGCAGGTGGCGGGCAAGAGAGACCGCTACCACCCAACCCGCACACTTATTTATATTGGGATTACACAGAGGTTTTCATTAATAACCAGAGAGTCGCTTTATTTTTCACCAGAAACAGGCCCAAGCCTGATGCTATAAACTGGCAATCCACAGATAGGCTGTTCCCTTCTGCCTAAAAAATGATTCGGAGGAAAAAAAAAAGTCTTGAATAGTTGTCAGCAATAAAATACCGTGGGAATTTTATAGGAAACTTGAAAACTCTGCCTTCTCTTGAGGAAACAAAGCCCAGGAAATTGGCCCTGCATGTCCACAGGGCATTGACACAGTGACCCCAGCCATGCTGTCCCTCTGTCTGCACCCTCCAAACGACAAACCGAAAACCTTTATCCCCAAAGTGTACCCTGAATAGGTGATCACAAATCCATCAAGGTGGAGATTAGTCAACAAAGAGAAAAATGTAGAAAAGGAGCAGTGGGCTACAGGAATCAATTCTTTCACCTCAGCTTTCCAGCAAGTTTCAACATTCGCGTTTTCCTTCCAACACCAGCCTGGTTGAAACCTTCTGCCACAGCAGGGTCAAAGCACAACACACCGAAACCATGCTTAAGTTTCTACCTCGACAGCTTATTACGGGTTCACCACTCACCTGCCCATCGTACAAGTGACAGAAGCCACGGATAATCTTCTGCTTGTACAGCTGATCTGCCTTTAACTCCATCCTGCGCACAGTCTGCATCATCCTGTAGTACTTGAGCCCTTCCTCCCTGGTGAGCACTGTTGTTTCAGGAGGACCTTCCTCCAGTCGGTGAAGGTCACATTTCTGCAAAGGAACCAACCAGTCAGGCATCTTCCAGCCACTACACTGTCAGCAGAGCCAACTCACGCTGAGGCCTGCGTCTGCTGCAAATAACATTTCATTTAAAAACTACTGGAGATGTGAACCAGAAACGCTGCCTGTTGCTACTGGCTCTTTAAATCATAAACCTCTTTAAATCATAAACCTCACTGAGTAATGGGATGGGATTTGGAGGAAGAAAAGTCGAATACGATTGTCAGTGAAAACCCCTGCAGCCAACTGAGTTATAGGTTAAAAGACAAACATGCGAAGAATCTTCTTACTCAGTTTCACTAAATCATATCCTAAACTTTGGAAATAATCTCGATGTCTTTCTGTTCCCAGCACCGTCTACCCCCCAAAAAACCAGCAAGTGGTTAAATAAAGTAAATTCTAATTTTTTATAAACTTCTCTGAACCTCTGATCTTAGAACACTTGGAAGAAAATGGTGAAAAAACCATGAATATCAAGATGTTTATCAAAGAGTATCTGGAAAACCCATGGTGGAAAACGAAACATGTCTTACCTTAATTTCAAACGTAGCATCATTAGCAAAATTTCGGGATGCCACCAGCACTCTGCTTGCCTTGAAAGATCAAAACACACAAAGAGATCAATGCTTTTTGACAGATCTTCTTGAAAACTACTATTCAAACTGAACAAAGGTTTATTACCTCAGCACTGGACTGTATCTTTGTGAGAAAGGTGAGATTAACCTGCTTGCTAAATGTACCCCCATGTATACATTTATATATTCCATTTATAGATGGTCTGTGGGGTTTATGCCAGGAATGTATATTCCCTATGTTCATAGTACAGGTTTTTATCTACCTATCACTTTACTTAAAAATATACATATTGATACAGCCAAATGGTAAATAAAAAAAAGTAAATACAGTGACATTGCTGGAAGCAAAATTTTTTAAAAAAAGAAAATTTACGGGCCAAAAAGTAGAAGGGTTAGATGCTTGCCTTGTATGTGTTTGATCCTGGTTCAGTGTCTGGGACAACATATAGTCTCTGGGTGTTAGATCCTGATTCAATCTCTGGGACCATATACAGTCTCCTGAGCACTGTCAGGAGTAAGCCCTGAGTACCACCGGGTTATGTCCCCCAAATAAAAGCAAGAACAATGTTTAAATACTAGAAATCAATACTTGAACAAGATGAAGAGATATCTCATTTAAAAAATCTAAGAGTAAATGAAGAAAACTGAGGATTGTGGTAAGAAGTAAAACTGAGGTAGATGAGAGGTAGCCAAAAGAAAGATTGTTTGGCAATCATGAAATAGACATGCCATTTCTGGCAACTTTACTTTATGGGGCCAAAAGTATTTCTTGCTTTGTGAAAACAATTTCCAGATACAGCTACAAAGACTGGTTTTTTGGAAACATTTAAAACTAGACACCAAACCAGCCAGGCAACAATAACTGAGAATCGGTGAATTTTTCTTTCCCAATCCTAAAGAGAAAACAAATAGTACAAAACAAACGTAATAAGGAGCAGGAAGCTAGGTCAAAGATTATGATAAAGAAAACTACTTAGACCTGTATTGCAAACCATAATGCCCGGAAGGAAAGAGAGGGTAAGAGGAAAAGTGCCTGCCATGGGCAGAGGGTGAAGGGAAGGTTGCAGGGAGGGGATATGGCAGAAGGGAAACAGGGAAACTGGGGACATTGGTGGTGGGAAACGGACTCTGGTAAGGGAATATTGTATGACTGAAAGTCAACTATGAACACTTTATAACTGTGACTGAAACCCAATCACCAACAACTTTGTGTATCTCAGGGTGTTTTGAGTAAAAGAAAACCACTTAGTTATCTTCTCTGTTTTGTTATTTTGAAGCACAAAAGAAGCTTCACCGATAACAGGTGGAAGCAGCTGAGCTGTTGTTAAAGAAGCTAAAAGTTGTATCCAAAGTGTGACTACATTTCTATTTGTAACTGGTGAGAAAAGATTACTGTTTCTTTTCTCTGGACAGTCCCTCAAAGCTGCTGTCAAGTGGACTTGGACTTGCTTTCTGTAAGAGGACTTTAAAATTCATTCCAATTCTGAAAAATTAAAACTTCAAAGTCCTACAGTCTTGGCAACCATTCAAGAGAAGGAGGGAAAACATTTCAAGCACTCCAGATTCTACTAGCATACATTAAAAATCTTACTACTTAAAATGTCAAAATAGTGGCAGTCAAGAGCTCACCAAAGGCATCATAATGAAAATACAAACAGTTAAATGTTTTAAATGAAATGCAACTTAAACCTCCGTGAAGGAAGAGCACGACAACTGAACTTCATTCAAAGATGCAGTCACAGGCATTTAGCTTGCACTCTGGGCAACATAAGCCACACTAGGCAAACCAGCTTTCAGTATAGAGACTCAATGTCTCTGGGCACCAACATCTAGTTTCTAAAGATGACAGCGAGTGGCCTGGAGTGTTAGGCAGAGGGAGTCACAATAGGACAATGTCACAAGGCTTCTACTCAGGCCAGCTTGCAGTGACCCCATGATTAGTCATAGCAACATTTTCACCTAGATTCTCCAGGTATAAGCTATCTGGCCTGCTGAAAGTGATGTGGCTCAGTGGAGAAGCACGACCTTGCCTGGGTGAGACCCTGGGTTCAATCCCCAGCAAGCACACACGAAAGAAAAACACCAAAAAATTGTAAAACACGCATCTAATTTAACTCACACAATGAGCTTCTTAAAAGAGGGGGAAATGAATGCTTTAAAGTATTTAAATTGGGGTTGAAGTGATAGCATTTGCTTTGCACTCGGGCGACCTGGGTTCGATTCTCAGCATCCCATATAGTCCCCTGAGCAATGCAAGGGCTAATTCCTGAGTGCAGAGCCAGGAGTGACCCCTGTGCATTGACGGGTGTGGCCCAAAAAGAAAAAAAAGTATATCAGTATAAAAATATATTTTGCTTAGACAAATAATGGAATGTTGTCTAAGGATCAAAAAGTACAGCAAATAAGGCACTTGCCTGGCATGTGGTCTACCCTTCGTGCCCCGTAGGGTCCCCCCAAGCACCGCCAGGAGTGATCCCTGAGCACAGGGCCAGGAAAATGCCCTGCACACGCCCAGATGTAGTCCAAAAAGCAAACATGAAGCCTGGGGCGAGTGAGGCGCTTATTGTCCATGCAACTGGCCTGGGGTGCATCTCAGACACTGCCAAGAGTAATTCCTGAGGACAGATGGAGGAGTAAGTCCTAAGCATCAGCGGGGGTGGCACAAAAAGGGAAGGAAGGAAAGAATGAAGGGAGGGAAAGAGGAAGGGAGGAGGGGAAAAAGAAAGGGGAAGGAAGGAAGGAGGGAAGGAAGGGAGGGAGGGGAAAGGGAAGGGAAGGAAAGAAGGGAGGAAGGAAGGAAGGAAGGAAGGAAGGAAGGAAGGAAGGAAGGAAGGAAGGAAGAAAGGAAGGAAGGAAGGAAGGAAGGAAGGAATCTAGGGAGCAAGAGAGACAGTACTGTGCGCAAGGTACTTGCCTTGTATGCTGCTGACCCTGATTCAATCCCTGGCCCTACATATGATCCCTAAGTACTGCCGGGAGGGGTCCTTTATAGAGCCAATAGGTGTGCCCCCCCACAAAAAAGGAATGAAATCTTACCTTTGGCAACATGGATGGAGCTAGAGGTACTGCACTGAGTGAAATACATCAGAGAAAGACAACAAATGGTTTCACTCATATGTGAAATAGAAACTGTCAACAAAACTCAAAATACATTCTGAGACTTGAACAAAACGGTGGCTACCAGAGAGGGAAGGGAAGGGATGGGGGTGGGGGAAGGAAAGAAGGGAGCAATTTTACAGCACTGAATGGTTTTAGAACTTTCTTTGGTGGTGGCTGTGGTGTAGTTTAGACACTGATGGAGCTCTGAAGCTATATAATCCTGAAACCTATGCCATTTTTTTTAACTAATGGTCAAACAATAAAAAGCCTAAACGTCTGTGATCCAAATTCACTGGAAACCAGGAAAGCAGTGGAACAGGAAATCTGTCCAGTGTCTGATGGTTTCAGTGTTTTCTTTCAAATAACATCTTTTTAGCACTAAGACCAACATGATTTTTATTTTATTTTTTTTTTTTTGCTTTTTTTGGGTCACACCCAGTGATGCTCAGGGGTTATTCCTGGCTCTGCACTCAGGAATTATTCCTGGCGGTACTTGGGGGACCATATGAGATGCCAGGGATCGAACCCAGGTCAACCGCATGCAAGGCAAATAAATGCCCTACCCTTTGTGCTATAGCTCCAGCCCCCCAACATGATTTTTAACAAGAGAACATAAAGGTCTGAAACAATCTTGAATGTTCTAAGCAGCCCTTATTAACACAGCCCGAACCTGATAACTGAACCCCCAGAGTGGGTACACCTGGGGCCCCTGATAGCAATGCTGGTGAACCCATCTGCTGGTGGGAGGGAAGCAAACTAGTACACAAGCTTTCAGCCCAGACACCCACCTAGAGTTCATAATGATTCACTGTCACGAGCGGGCCCAGTAACGTCTCCTTCGTGAGACTTCTTGTTACTGTGTTTGGCATATCGAATATGTCACGGGGAGCTTGCCAGGCTTTGCTGTGAGGGCGAGATACTCTCGGTAGCTTGCCGGGCTCTCCGAGAAGGGCAGAGGAATCGAACTCAGGTCGGCCATGTTGGCTGCGTGCAATGCAAATGCCCTACCGCTGTGCTACCACTCCAGCCCATGATTCACTGTGCCTTCATAAAATTAATGCTACAGACTAGGGATGTGGGAGTGGGGGGAGAGCAAGAGAGCCCCAGAGTGATTGATTTAAAAGAAGGAACCCTAAGAGGCAGGGAGAAAGCTCAGGGGTCAGGCGCACAAGCCCCATGTGTACAGGGACCAGGGTTCAATCCAGGCCTGAGCATTGCTTTCAATGCCTCCCACAGTCAACTGAAGAACGGCTGCACTAGCTCACTGTTTCTCATCCTCATCAAATAATTTTTGTTTGCGGGGGCCACACCCGGGGGTGCTCAGGGATCACCCCTGGCGGGACTCAGGGGATTATGTGGGATGCCCAGAATGGAAATCAGGTCAGCCGCATGCAAGGTAACCCAGGTAAAAACCACATGTACTATCTCTCTGGCCCCATCCTCAAAGAATTTTTTTTTGGGGTCACAGCTGGCCATGCACAGGGGTTACTCCTGGCTCATGCACTCAGGAATTACTCCTGGCGGTGCTCAGGGGACCATATGGGATGCTGGGAATCGAACCCGTGTCTGCCGCGTGCAAGGCAAACGCCCTTCCCGCTGTGCTATCGCTCCAACCCAATCATCAAAGAATTTTTAAGAGAAACATGTTAGGAATCTGTTTCCACTGTCATAATCTTTTCTAACTTTTTACTATAAGAAGTTCCAAGTCCACTCTATTTTTGTTTAATCCAGCTAGCAAAATCATTCCAATCCTGAACTCAGTTCATCTCTATTTCATTTGGGCTGCATTAAGATTGGGGGGGGGATGCTGGGGTCATGCCTAGCTGTGCTCTGGGCTTACTCCTGGCTCTGTGCTCAGAGGACCATTCTAACTGGCGCTGGCCTTAACCATATTATGATTTCTGATGAAAACCAAATTTTACTGAGATGAAGAAGATTGAATTTGTATTTCACGGCAACACGCTGCAAGACCGTAAAGCACAACCAAGAGTTCTATAAACTGTTGAGGGAATGACAGACTAGTTTTAAATATGACCTCTCTCCATTCAAGGGGACACAGAAGCGACAGGAAACTGAAACACACGTATACAACGTCCGTTTCCTGCAGGACCACCACTGATTCTAGCCATCTTCTCTTAATGCCGTCCTTAAGCACAGAACTAAGGTCCCGCTTAATGCTGGAAACCTACTTCCGTTACTTCCATTCAACTAAAAACCGAAAACGTGGAAATGAAATGAGAAAAGCACGTCAAAAACACCCAGCACATCTCAAGAGCTCAGTAAATACTGGCTACAGCATGTGTATGGGAAGAAATCCCTAATGGAGAAACGTGCTTCTCCTTCGGGTCGTCAAATGCCGAGGGCTGAGTCATCAGCGTGTGTCTGGTGGTGTTTTCCATCATGAGCTTCCAGGATGGGGCCCCATCCTACCCTCCCCGATCTCTGCCCCAGACCAAGCAGAGGTACCACCAAGTCCCGAGGGAGTGAGAGCCAGAACTGCCAGTCAGAACCTGGCCGCAGTCCCACCAAGTAATACGACCTCGCGGTGCCTAGCGGTCAAGGCCTGAAGCTTAGGGCGCGTCTTAAAGCGGGTGCCACCCATGGGATTAGCCGAACCCCAACCCTTGCAGGCACCACTACTTTCTTGAGCCCAATGTGTGTGTGTGTGTGTGTGTGTGCGCGCGCGCGCGCGCGCAATTTAAGGATACAACTGGACAGAGCTGAGCACATGCAAATAAAGAGCATTCATACCCGGGAACCCCAGTCCACACCCGCGCTCGCGGAATCCCAACGGCAGAACCCCGCGAGGCCCTCGGAAGGCTGGCCACTGCGGAAACAGAACACCAGGGTCTGTCCACCTAAAAACCACATCGTGCCAGGCGTCGCAGTACCCGGCGGGGCGGGTGGGCTGAGTGCGGACGGGATGCTCGCGGGGGTCGGCCCGGCACCCACGGCCTCCGGGCCAAGAAGGCACCAAAGTCGGCGCTCGGGGCCAGGGCGTTCCGCGGAACCCAGCTTCCCGGCAGACTCGGCGGCACCCGCTCTCCTCCGCCCAAGCCGGCGCCCACGGGCCGGGGCAGCTGCTCCTCCCCGAAACGGGCACCCTAAGGCCCTGGAAACGCGGCTCCCAGGTCCGATCCCACCTTTCGGGAGCCGGCAGCCCCCCACCCCCACCCCGGGATCTCGCTCGCACCCCACCCCGAGCGCCCCGCACGCCTTACGGGCTTCGGGGAGGCGCCGGCCAACACGCGGAAGACAGCGGCGAGCATCTTCCTCATAAAGCGTTGGAGCGTGGCGGCGGGAGAGACGTGTCCCGACGACCCGGGCGGCGCGGCCGGGCTGTCCCCAAGTCTCCTTCAGGTGCCCGCGTTCAAGCCCCGCCCCAGGCCTAACGTCACATCACGCGCCGTGCGCGGCGCCGGGCCAACCAACATGGTTCCCGGGGATGCTCCGGCCCACGGCGGGCGCGCGGAGACCGTCGGGCGCGGCCGCCCATTGGGCGCACCCGCCGGGGGGGGAGGGGCGCGCGGGCCGGTCCGCGCCACGCGGCTGGCTCCGACGCGGCCGGGACTCACGTGGCCCGTTTGGGCCCCGCCCGCAGGGCGCCGCGGGAAAAGGAGCCGCTTTGGTTTTTTTGTTTTTTGCTTTTTGGGTCACACCCGGCGTTTCACAGGGGTTTCTCCTGACTCAGGAATCTCGGGGGACCATGTGGGATGCTGGGAATCGAACCCAGGTCTGCCGCGTGCACGGCAAACGCCCTACCCGCTGTGCTAAAGCTCCAGCCCTTTTTTATTGTATTTTTATTAATTAATTAATTAATTTATTTGCTTTTTGGGGAAAAGGGGCCGCTTTGGACTGAGCGTGCCGGAGCCGGACGGGATGGGAAACCTCACGGGCCGGTCTGGCCGCCGGGTCCTGCCGGGGCTGCAGCTTTGCAGCTGGAGCGCCAACGCCCTTAGGAGGAAGATGAACGGCGTGGCCGGGGCCAGCGCGCCGAACATCTGTCGGCTATAAAGGTTCTGCTGGGAACTGGTCTTTGAGAGATCATGTAACCGTTGTAAAATGCTGCCCTGTTTACTCGAGTCCCAATCCAAAAGTTGATCTCCCAAGTTAATATTGAGAGATCCACGAGCAAAAGTCTTGTGGCTCTTCTAGTTCATGTTTCCCAAGCTCAGAGTTAGCAGAGTAACACGGCAGAGGGTGAGACGCACAGGCAGCAGCCGCAGAGGCAGCTCCAAACTGGACTCGGATAGAGAGGGATAGACACAGAGGGACTAAACTCATTTGTGGAGTATGAAATAACATGAGGCTGACACCTAAGGACGGTAGATACATGGGACAGATAGATTGCTCCATAGCTGGAAGCCTGCCTCATGAGCAAAGGGGAGAAGGCAGCTGGGATAGAGAAGGGATCACTAAGAAAACGATGGCTGGAGGAACCGGACAGGATGGGAGACGTGTGCAGAAAGTGGATAAAGGACCAAACATGATGAACTCTCAGGGTCTGTATTGCAAACCATAATTCCCAAAAATAGAGAGTATGGGGAATATTGTCTGCCATGGAGGCAGCAAGAGGGTGGGAAAGGGGCGGGGTATACCGGGGATATTGGTGGTGGGGAATGTGCACTGGTGGAGGGATGGGTATTTGATCATTGTGTGACTGTAACCCAAACATGAAAGCTTGTAACTATCTCACAGTGATTCAATAAAATAAAAATAAATAAATAAAAATAAACTGGACTCGGAGCAGTTCCTAGCTCCAAGGTGTGGGTGTGCGCTGCTAGTGGGATTGTACCTGACATAGTGGGCTCAGATTTGGACTCATATCTTGTGGGGTTGGGAGCCTCGCAAGGAATGCCCAAGGCATTAACCGGTGGTGCTTGGGGGACAGTGAGATGCTGGGGATGGAATTCAGATTTGGGAACATACAAGGCATGGGTATTATCTGCTTACCCCTGGGGTCCATATCTTAAAAAGATAGCCATATCTTGCTGACAAACATGAAATAAATTCAGGAAACTGTTATCAGAGTGGTTTTGTTGAGAAAGATGGTGGGGGGGTGCACGGGGACTGAAATTGTGACTTTGGAAGGACAGTAAAGGAGTTAGTGGGGAAAGACAGAACGATTTGTGGGGCTAGCTTAGGTTTTATTATAAACCTTCACAGTTTAGTCATTGCAAGAACCTTAAGTGACTCAAGTCACGTTGCTCATACTCTACAACTCTTATGATTTGGCTGGGGCTCCGCAGCTTGCCATCTTTGTTGTATAAACAGATGGAGCAGGCTTTTTATGGTTTGTTTCATTGAGAATTAACTAATTATCAAAGTTTTTACCCAGGGGTTGGAGAGATAGTACAGCAGATGAGGCGCTTGCCTTAATTTGATCCCTGGGATCTCATATGGTTCCCTGAGCTCTGCCAGGAGTGACCCCTGAGCACAGGTGTGGCCCAACTCCCCTCCACCATCACACATACACACACACACACACGCACACACACACACACAAGATCTGAACCTTCTACCCAGAAGTGATGGCTTACTTCCTCTCAGGGTCCTTAGCTCCAACATCTGAATTCATCAGGGTGAAGAATAATTCTTACCCCAGGAGAGATGACAGAAAATTGGTTGAACCATAAAATCACAGAGAATTCAATACAGGTTTCAAACATTTTCAGACCTATTGTTTTCCCACAGGAGGAGACAGTGAATGAATGAGTGTGTGCTTGAGTAAGATAACTTTACTCAGAAGAACTTTCCCTTCCCCCTTTTAAAATGGATAAAATTTTATCCATTTTATTTTTTGTTGAACCATCATGAGATACCTAGTTACAAAGTTGTTCATGATTAGGTTCAGTTATACAATGTTGCAACATCCCTCTTTTCGCCTGCATACATTTCCCACCACCAGTGTCTGCAATTTCATTCTGGCTCCTTAAAGGCCTGTCGGGCTGGAGCGATAGCACAGCGATATAGGGCGTTTGCCTTACAAGCGACCAACATGGCCGGCCCGAGTTTGATTCCTCCGCCCCTCTTGGAGAGCCCGGTGAGCTACCAAGAGAATCTCGCCCGCACGGCAGAGCCTGGCAAGCTCCCCGTGACGTATTCGATATGCCAAACACAGTAACAACAAGTCTCATGATGGAGATGTTACTGGGCCCGCTCGAGCAAATTGATGAACAACGGGAGGACCGTGACTGTGACAGGCCTGCCTATACTACAAAACTTTCTTTCTTTCTTTCTTTCTTTCTTTCTTTCTTTCTTTCTTTCTTTCTTTCTTTCTTTCTTTTTTCCTTTCTTCCTTTCTTTTTTCTTTTTCTTTTTTGTTTCTTTCTCTTCTTTCTTTTCTTTCTCTTTTCTCTTCCTCCTTGCTTACTTGATCACTATCATTCTCATAAAAGATATTCTAATGCTGAATAATGGTGCATCTTTTGTAGAAACAATGAATCTAATCAAAGTAGATAGAGTGTTAAATAGAATTTATCTGCCTCACAGGCATTGGCAGGGTTGGGAGGGGGGGTTATTGGGGTTCTTCGTGGTGAAAAATAAGTATTGGTAAAGGGAAATGTGTTTGATAATTGCATGACCGAGACTTAAACCTGAAAGCTTTGTAACTTTTCCCACAGTGATTCAATAAATAAATAAATAATTTTTTAAAAAATATATTCTAATGCTGAGTTTTTTTCAGTGAGGTAGCTCCCTGCTATATGACCCACACTATCTAAATCGAACTTTGCTTTTTTTTTTTTTTTTTTTTTTTTTGTCTTCCATTGGAGCTGCTCAGAGTTGTGTTTTACTTTCGGAGTTGCTCCGAGTTTATTCCTGGTTCTGCACTCAGAGTTTATTTCTGGTTCTACATTCCTAGTAGGGCTCAGGCGGATCATATGCGGTGCTGGGGAATGAACTGGGGTCCACCACATGCAAGTCAAGCATCCTATTCACTGTAAAATACCTCCACCCCCAAAGCAGAAACTTTGGCTGTCAGAATGGCTAGAGAAAGGACTGGCACGGCCGCGACTGAAAGACCTTGTTGATTCCTGCCAGTTCTATGGCCAGGCTGCAACGAGAGGAGGGCTCTTAAAGAAGGACAAGGAAAAAGCAGGGCTGGAGGTGAGATCTATTGCACACAGAGGCAACTGCACAGAATGCAGAGAGGGAAGAAAATGAACTAAAAGCTCCTGACATCACAGTGATAAGAAGCTGTGTGTTTGAGACATACTAACCTGAAGATGCCTACGGAACTGCTATTTGAAATGGTTCCTCCTGAAGTTAGAGTTGAACTTCTAGAACATATGGTAAGAAATAAAAATGCATGCATTTGGGGGGCTGGAGCAATAGCACAGCGGGTAGGGCATCTGCCTTGCACGCGGCCAACCCGGGTTCGATTCCCAGCATCCCATATGGTCCCCTGAGCACCGCCAGGGATAATTCCTGAGTGCAGAGCCAGGAGTAACCCCTGTGCATCACCAGGTGTGACCCAAAAAGCAAAAAAAAAAAAAAAGCATGCATTTGGGAGCTCTTTGTGAAGGGTGGTTTGGTTGCTTAAGTCCAAGAACATTGTGGGAACAGACCTAAGTTCAGTCATTCACTTATTTGTTCAACACCACCTATTTATGGAAAACCAATTAGGTGACAGTGATGTGAGTGGGCCCATGGGTGACTTAGTGAAGAGGAGAAAGATAGTCACTTTCTCTCAATCCGCCTCTGCCACCCAGGACCTAGGGTTACTGGGTTCTTGTCTTGCTCTGAGAAAGGAATTTTAGGAGTAGACAAGCAGGGAAGAAAAATAGATTTTATTTGGAGGGTTTTTTATTTGGAGGGGGAGAGAGAGAGAGAGAGAGAGAGAGAGAGAGAGAGAGAGAGAGAGAGAGAGAGAGAGACTCAAGAGAGAACGTGGGCTTCTCCAAGGGCAGAGAGAACCCCTAGACACATCCCAACATCAGACACAAAAGCATGAAAGTACACATCTCAAGAGGGGAGATGTGAGAGATACATGTGCTCGGGTGATACATGTGCTCAGCCACGCGGGCGCAAGCAGCACATGGTCTCCGGCAGCATATGTGCACTCCCTTCCTTTGTTCAAGGTGGCTTTTATAGGCTCCTCTAAGGGGTTGTCTTGATCCGGAAGTTCTGGAGTCTTCTCAGGGCTGGATCACATTTTAATCAGATTAAGGGAGAGGGTTTGAGGAACTTCATGGGGAGGGTCCAACCTCCTCAGGGTCTGCTGAAGATCTTATCAGGTCTGTTTTCTGTATCCACAGAGAGGATCATTCTTAGAATTTTCCTCCCAGAAGCTGTTGACCTAAGTTTTATTGCCGAGGGCCTTTCCCTATCTACCTGTCTACATCAACAGGAGTTGTGTCAGGCATTGGGAATATAGGTAGAGACAGG